CACTGCAAATTCCGTGGTTTAAAAGGCCACTGGTTCTTGCATAGGCATCCCTGTGTACGTATGCTGGAACTGAACAAACATTTCTTTCCAAGATTATTTTCATCGTGGAACCCTCTAAGTCAACTCTGCTCTAAGCAATGTGTGGTTTGAAGTTGAAGCATCAGTAATTCCCCTGTATCCACAGGTTCTGAAGGACCACCATGTGCTCAGTGCATAGCTGGGGCTACGCCTGCAGTAGTTTCTTCCAGCTGGTGCTCTTAGGGATGAGGTTCTTCCCAACTTCCAGAGCTTGGCAGCATGGGGATCCTCAGTGGGCAAGGGACGTGGGGCTGTTGCTTTACCAATGCCATATTCCAGGGTACTTTAAAACCTCATATGGGAGGTTTTTTTGGGCATTCAGAGGTGCACCGAGTTTACACAGAAGCCAAGTTTATTCTACTTCACCTCAATTTAGGATTTACAATCCAGCTTTTCCTGAGAGCCAGCTTTGGTTTAGGTTTATGGTTCTGAAAATAGTCCATTATGCTCACAGTTTGTTACAATACCCAGTGGTGTAATGGGTACCCTGATGTTCACAGAGAGGCTTTCCAGTCTGGCTAACTGAGGAGCAGGGCTGGAACAGGATTAGAAGCATTCCCTTTCTTGATAGCACCAGGAACTGCTGAGGAATTATTTTGAATGATGTATGCCAATACAGCCAACAGTAATTAGATCAAACTACAAAAGTGAAAATTAGGGCTAAATATTAGATAAAACTTCCTGGTAATAGGATATATACTGGGCTGTGGAATAGCTTGTCTGTGGAAACTGTTCTGCATGCTGGTTTAGGGCTCAGTTAAAATATTTCTGCATTGGCAGAGAGAAGGCCTAGTCTTTTGATAATCTGATAGAGCATCTCTAATTCTTTCACCTTGGGTATATTAATACTGCACATAATTAAAATTGGATCATGATAAATTAACTAATTTAGCCTTAGAGTGATCAAAGGCCCTTTTGCCCTCAAGGTTCATAGTAGCTGCTGATCCCCCCCACCCCTCCATTTTAATCATCAGACTGAAATGTTTATTGGAAACAGAAAAATTTCCAGGAATTACACTCTGAAAGCCACCAGCTGCTGAAGCTGGTGAAGTGTAAGGATGCCCTCTACTGAGCCTGTGCTCGGCCCCTGCTGGGTTCCAGAAGCATTTGCTCAAGCAGCTGGATGTCAGGTCAAAGTTGACTCATTCAAATGTCCATCATGAATTGAACCTTAAGCACAGCCTGTGAGTAATTAATGAGGAGATAACTAAAGATAATTTACTCATAGGAGTTAAAAAAAAAAAAAAAAAAAACACAAAAAAAAACAAACGTCCACCCACAATAGCTCAAGTGTCAGCTTTCCAAAGAAAGGTGTAGCACAATTCTAGATGAGAGATGATAAATACATTAGAAGTGAAACATGGCACTGTTTCTACTAAGAGCTTTTTAGGCCTTGTCATGTGTTCAAGAGGAACACAATGAAAAGGCCATCTTAAAATGTGGCATGCATGAGTAGATTGTTCTACTTAAATATAATACAGAGAAAAAAGAAATCTTTTTAAGTATAATTAAGTCTGCCAAAAAACTTGTGGAACGGTTCATGAAAAGTCAAGAAACCTGTGTATCCATTAGCAGAATTGAAGCCCTCAAGAGGAACACAATGTGACTTGCTTTGTTTCTGGAAAGATTTGGGAATTCAGAAGAACCATGACCAGCAGTGGAGAGCTAATCCTGTGCTGCCAGTTCAAATCAGATCAAAATTTCCTATTTCTTTCTTCCAAGTTAAGGCCAAGTCAGGACTTATTTTGGTCTCAGATTGTTGGAGGAGGTTCAGCCCCATCTTAACTGCCTCTGCAGTCTCTTTGCTTTAGCGTACAGTTCCAGAGAGCTGCTAACTGGCCACGTTAAACTCTTGATGTGTATGCTATGAAAAGCAGCAATATCTTGGTGAGGCTAATGGCGAGGCTTTTGTCATTGAATTAACCATATAAATAATTCAGTGTGCCTGAGGAAATCTGGAAGATGACAAGCTCTGAAATATATATTAAAAAACAAAGTACTGAATTCTAATTAAAATTCAGCTTATGGCAGAGTTTTCCCTTACAGAAGGTACATTTTTTCTAGCCCTTGTTTTAATCAACTGAGTCTAAGGCAACTAAGTGATGCTGAAACTATTTATTTTTTATGTAAGGGTACAATACGGCTCATAGGAACTTCATGAAGTACAAGTTCCCACACCTAGGGAGGAACAACCCGAGGCACAGATGAGTGCTGGGAAGCACTTTTTTGGAGTGAGGATGAATGCACACTGGAGCAGGTTGCCCAGAGAGGTTGTGGAGTGTCCATCCTTGGGAGATACTCAAAGCTGTGTGGGTGTGGTCCTGGACAATCTGCTCGAGTAGGGGGCTTGAACAAGGTGGTCTCCAGAGGTCCCTGCCAACTTCAGCCATTCTGTGGTAATACCTCTGGATAGCAAATTACGCAAACATGAGCTATAAACAAATGTAATCTGAAAGGAATCAATAGCTTTTCATAGGTAGAGTCAGAGATTCCAAAGCAACAAAGTAAGTAACACTAGCAGCAATGCAACTCGGAATGCAAGCTGTATAGTGGTGTGTAAGCCTCTGACACCACCGAGCCATGCCCAGGTTCTGGCTGCATATGCTGAACAGATCCACACTTGAGTCCTGCCATTGCAACAAGCTGGATCAGTTAGTTGGTATAAGGTAAAAATACCTTAACTCCCAAATCCTGCCATCTGGGAGTGGATTAGTACAGGGGAATATAGCCATGTATTTTAAGAAATAATATTCCAAACAAGTAAACCATGTGTATGTTTATGTTACAGTATACACCTGTCTTTTCTAAATATTCTTATAAGCCTGTGGAAGAGTGCAACTGAATTCACATAAGTGCATAAAAACCTTCCCACGTGAAAGGAATCATGCTGGTTTCTCCCTGGCATTGAAGGGAGATGTTTCTAGCCTCCCAGGTCCTGAACTGGCAATTCAGAGCAGTTTGATTGCCTGCTTGATTGTTTGTGAGATAACGGTGCGATTCGCAGTGACAGGGTAATTTACTGAAGATTGCAGTGTCAGACTATATCCAAGGGGGCTTGCGAGCATAAAGATGTGATTCGCATGACTGACAGGACACTGAGAGATTGATATGCCAATTGAAAGTTCATGGTGCCATCAGAAGTGCTCGGTCACAGCATCCCATGATCTGCTCCATGATGAGGTCATTATTACAGACACATTCTCACCTCTAATAACAGGTACAGCAAAGATATGATCCAGCTTGAACAGGTGAATGTAAATTTATCAAAGGGTAAATTTATTCATATCCTGTGTTTTACTTGTGTCATTTCTAATGTGTTAATAGGATCCTCTTGACTGGTGGTTGTCTAAATAAAAAAAACTCAATGGACTAAACAGTGGGCAGCTTGATGTTCGTGGTTGTAGTGTCACAAACCATGAAAGAACACAGACTGCTGAGAAAAAATCCTCAAAGCTCAATAGGAAAACTGCCTTGAGATAATCTGCAGCTAATGTCCTTACAATGATTATATAAAGTGGGTGGAAAAGTGACTGTAGCAAAAAAGAAAATTCCTGCCCCCACGCTGGGAAGGATTTCAAGATGAATGGAGCTCTTAATGCCACTAGGCGACTGACCTTAGAGCAATCTATAGCTTTTGTAACAGGGTAGTTTGTCTAACTTAAATTTCCTTAGAGGGTTGAATGAAACATTGTCAGCATACCTTGGCAATTTTGGTTTAAAATCAGAAACACTCGTTTCAGGCACATACAATCTGTTAGAAGTACAAGGCTAACTGTAAAATAAGAAATCTTTTTATAGGTTTGGGTTGTTTATTCTTTTGTGGTTGTTTTTCCAGTTATCGTGTTGGGTAGCACTGGTCTGCTGTGCATTTGAAAATACAAGTCATGTTCTTTCTCTAAGGTACTTAGGTCAGCTAACCTACGGGAATGTTCTCTCTTGTGTATGATATTCACTATGTGCCCAGGCCATATTTGTATTGGAAGGTCAGATTAATGTGCCTTGGGGAGTCTCTGAAAGTTTGGAGACCTGAGTAGATTGCAGATTGAATGCCTGATTCTGAACAGAGTAGATAAGGAAATGTTTCTAAAATGTTAGAGATCATAATATTTTAAAGTAAATGGTTATTCATTTCTAAATTGCAGTAGAAGTCCATTGAAAGAACATATTTCAGTTAAACAATGATACCAAAGGAAAGGATGATCCTAGAAGTTATCATATGTGCTAAAAATTGTCATTTGTGGTTTATCCAAGTATACAGAAAAATCTCCCCATTGAGGATTCCATTTTAATTTCTGGCATTTAAATTCGAACCAGCTAGCTTTGTGACTGATCCTTCTTAATCCAAGCAGGGGAACAAGTTCTGATTCAGGTGTCTGTGGGACGTGGGAGTTTCAGCAGCACTTCCCTCTGAATCGCCAGAATGGGTACAATGTAATTTTTGTTTTACTTAGGTAATGATAATTTATTCTGTCACCCCCATCTCCTTCCCTCATTGCCCCAAATGGCCCAAAGGAAATTAAGCAGCGTAATTCTCAAGACTTTTGTAGTCCAGCAAGGAAATCTAAATACTTTGTAAAACAAACAGCTGGGAAGAATTAAAAACAAACAAACAAGCTAAACAGAAAAATGCTGTATTCCTTCCGGTATTGCTTCTTTCTAATTTTAAGCCTTAGCAGATTTCTTTGGGACTGATTCTCATCTAACACTAGTTTAAATGAAGTGTAGCAGCAATAGTGTGCAAGCAGTGCATGTGAGGAGGTCTCATCCTCGTTGCGTTATTGGTTCAATTACCAGTTTTATGGCGTAGAGATGTTATGAAGAGTAAGCATGAGCTTTTTTTTTTTGCCTTCTGATTTCCATGAGATATCTTTGCTTGCTAGCGCCCTGCAGCCGGCTGAATCTTGCTGGTGTTTCCCTTTCAGATGGCTTGGTGGACTGCCTAGACCCAGACTGCTGCCTTCAGTCTGCTTGTCAGAACAGCCTGCTGTGCCGGGGCTCGCGTGACCCGCTGGACATCATCCAGCAGAGCCATTCTGGGTCACCAGCAGTGAGGTCGTTCTACGATCGAATCAAGCTCTTAGTGGGGAAGGACAGCACTCATATCATCCCAGGAGAAAATCCCTTCAACAGCAGGTAGCAGCTATAAATATGTTGCTATATCTGTGCAGCTCCATTCAGTGAGAGTTTCACTCAGAGATTTTATTCCTGTGTTACCATGAGATGCTGCTTTCAGGTGCTTCATGTGTTTGCATCTCAGGCATTGTTCTCACTGAAGGCACTCTGTTGCAATTTATCATGTGGCCTTTATTTTATAATACTGAGCTTTATTAGCATTTTAACTTACTTGCAACACCTAGAAGAAGGTTCCTTCCACTGAGTGGGAGCTTCTGAGGTTTATATTTTACGAAGACTGCAGATCAGAACAAGGGAAAATGCAAACTAGCTTGCAGTTAGAAAGGGATTGCATTTTATTTAGTTCCGTTAATACAAGTTTCAATGAAATAACGTGTTAAATTATTTTAAAGATGCATTAACTTAAGGGATTCTATTATTTATTTATTATATGAAACTGTTTTACTCACAGTTTTACCTGCATCATCAATACATCTGACAAGGTTTTAATCTTCTTCTTGGTTTTCTTTTTCTCTCTGTTCTTCCTATGATTGTTAAATATATATTTATAATTAATCTAAATGTCAGCACATCATTAATTGATATTTGATGCCATTGTATTCTTACAAGAAGAGTGGTCCTATTTATCAATATTGGTTCGGTATGTCTCCCTGGAAAGATGCAACAAAATTGCTAAATATGTTAATTATGTTCTTATTGCCCAAGTTAAATCTTATGGAAGAACTGAATTTGAGATAATGTCCAAAAGATTGGACTGTGTTACAGGAAACCTTTTTCCAGTCAGGATTTCATTGTAGGCTTGATGGGTGATGTAGACCAGGTCGCTAAATATTTTTAAATGAGGATCATAATGTTTCTGGATACACCAGGTGGGTCCCCACTTTATTCATCCCTGTGATGCTCAGGTAGCACAGTGATTTCTATATTCCATCAGAAAAGCCCTGTTGGATCCTGCTCTGTATAGTAGAGACTTTATTCTAGTCTATAAAAGGACCTATGCGTATACACATGGAGCGGTTTGGGAAAATGGATGAAAATTGTTCTATTTTCAACTAAGTTTTTTGTGGGGTTTGTTTTTTTTTTTTTCTCATCAGCACTGTAAAAATAAAACAAGGGAGTTCTTGCAATTTTCTGCAATGTTGCTTAAAAACATGAAATGTTGCATAAAAAATGTTGCATAAAAAAGGATGAGAGGTGCTTACTAATTCATGAGGCTGAATAATTTGTCCAAAAAGCAATACAGGCTGCAGCATAAAAATCATATAGTCCACAGGCTGGTTGGTTCATGCTGCTTTATATATGTTAGGGTCAGCAAAATTTCCATGTATGAAGAGGAGCAGGGAGTTTCCTGTTACATATTGTATGCTCACTGGTGCTTGACCCTTTGCCTCCTTAGGACACCCAGAATGAAAATGAACATATTCCCTATATCTGTATGCCACTAGCATCTGACAGTGTTTAATTGTGCTGCTAACATGATCCAACAGTTTGTTCCTAGATCCTGACATGCTTTACAAAAGCAGGTGATTATCATACTGAATTTCTAGATGAGTGTAGCAATATGCAGACATTCTTGCTCCATCCAGAAATATTAGAAATTATATTAAAAATAATGAAGTTGCTTATGTGTAGGTATGGGATGGAGTCTTCAAAATAGTCTAAGAATTAGAGCTCTAGACTAAGTGGGAGCGGAGCACTTCGATCCTGCAGCTCCTTCAAAAAAGATTTCATTTGAAATTTTACATTTTTTCTTTTAAGTATGTTTTCTAGGTTTCCTGGTGAAAGGAGTCTTAGTTCTGTTTTATTCATTTGAAGTATATCATCATGTATTTTAACATAACTTTGTAAATGGCATATTAATGACTTTTTAAAATTTGCCTTAGCCTTTAAGCTGTGAAGGTGCTTTTGAGAACTCTACAGCTCAGCTGTTATTTTTAGTATCAATTTTAGGCAAATTTAACATATACTGTCAAAATGAAAGTTTAAAACTAGTGGTTTAGACTTTCTGGAAGTGCCACAAGGTTAGACTCCAAGTTTCACATATACTGAAGCTGCCATAGTCTCAAGAAGTAACTACCATAAATGATAACTTCTTAATGAGAGCTTAATCTCTCATTCCATTGCAAGTGACAAAGTGGGGCAAAATAGTAGTTATGATTTTTTTCCATTAATGGTATAAGAAAATAAGTAATAAATAACAAAATGTATAGGTTGCAATATTATTTAGATCTTGCTGAACATTTCTGTGCAGAAGCAAGATGAAGTTTTCAGGAAATAAAAACCACTGTGTTTCTACACATTTAACTTCTATCTTAAAAAAAAAATAAAAATTACTTAATGTATAATCTTGATTGATCGGTTACATTTTTAAAAGATTACAAAAAATAGCTTCTGTGTGTGACTATTAGTCAACATATTACTTCTTATAAATAAAGATTTTATTTATAGATTTTAATACCCATTGTCTTCCATATTTTGACATTTTAGAAATAAAAAGGGAGGTTATTGGTCAAAATGTTCTTTTTCAAATTGTTGCCTGAAATATTGAAACTGAAGGTGGAAAAAATTGAATCATGAACATTAATGGCTCTCTTCTGCCTTACGATGATTTGTTTCTAAACCTGTTTTCTGCACTGTTCCTCTATAAAAGCTTGAGTGACTATCTTCCTACAACTATTTCTGTGTAACATAAAACCATTGAAGCAAAATGAATAATGCCAAGACAGTTATCTTGGTCCGTTGTATCCCTGAGTAGATTTTTCTCTACAGGCATCAATTTCTATTAAATTCCATATTCTGTCACGAAACGTTGATTTTGCAAATTAACATTTGACCTGGAGGGACAAGAAATAGTTGAAAGTTCTAAAAGCAGTGTAACAGAAACGGCTTGGTTTCATTAATTAGTTTCTTTTATGTAATATTGAAGAAAATAATGCACCTTGTTTGGAATAAAGATAAGAGGTAGTAGTTGTTAAATTGGCAGTAAAATACAGTTAGCAATCTCCATCATAGCACCTCGAACACTTCAGAGTTACTGGAAAAGTTCTCAACACAATCCCTGACATTACTAGTGAAAGTAGATGTTCTCTGCTGTGGGGATGATGCAAGCATTATAGCCATCCCAGAATTCAGTTCTGAGCAAAACACAGCTCTGTTTGATCCCCTTGTCCTATAGCTGGGGCTGGCTTCAGAACTCTGTGGTGTCAGGATGCCGTGCCTGTTGGTGTGCCTGAAGGTTGCTGAGGTTCAGGAGCAGCTCCAGTTCTGCTGGCACACAGTCAGTTCGGAAGCAGAGCTTCTCATCTGCTGGCTCACTCTGTGGCTACAGATGAGAGTTGGTGGCTCGTGCTGGAATACAGATCTTTTCATCTAGGGCTACAGAAAGAAGGAATTTTGTGATCACTGAGATTCTGGGTTGCAGCAGGATTTAACTCTCTCCATTTCGCAGGGCCATCTTGTCCTGTTTTTGCATTCCTAGTGTAGCATTGGAAGCCATCCACAAGGAGCTTCTCCTTTTCTGTCTCTTCATTATTTTGCAGCTTCCTAAATTCACCAATCTGCTTCTTTCATGGTAGAGGGAAGGTGGTAGGGAGCCAAGGGATGGAGACTCCTCTCCAGCTGGGAGAGGAGAGGAACGGGAGAACATCCTGGCCATGCCAGAGAGCAGAAGAGCAGGGAGAAGTGGGGCTTGCTACTTCCAGTGCTTGGGAGGCTGGGAATGCAGGCAGGTAGGCAGGAGCAGTTTCTGCCCGCTGGGTGCTTACCAGCAGCAAAGTACTATTGAGGAAAAAAAAGACTGACTGTGCCTTCTACAGGAGTAGTCCATCAATGCCTATCAATATCTGAAGGGCTGGTGTCAAGAGGATGGGGCCAGACGTTTTTCAGTGGTGCTCAGCAAATGTCAAGGGGCAATGGGCACACACTGGAACATGGAAAGTTTCATCTGAACGTGAAGAAAAAAATTCTTTGCTGTGGGGGTGGCAGAGCCTGGATCAGGTTGCCCTGAGAGGTTATGGAATCTGTTTCTCTGGAGAGGGTCCAAACCCGCCTGGTTGCCATCCTGAGCACCCTGCTGTGGGTGACCTGCTGGAGCCGGTGGCTTGGATGAGATGATCCCCAGAGGTCCCTTCCAACCCCCACTATTCTGCAATTCTGTCTTCATCTCGTTTAGGCTAAGCAAAGTTGCTTAACCTGTTGGCTAAGAAAACTTTATTCTTTCTACTTTTGGCAAAGTGAAAGGCAAGGGTTACAAATCTGGGACCAAATGCGTTGTGAAAACATCAGTCGCTTCCTAAGATGAAGGAACATGAACTTTAGTTTGGAAAATGGCTTGTATAAGAGATATGGCCTTACACCATCTTTTTCAAGTGTATTAGGCATCTGCAGCCATGCTGTTGTACCCAGGGAGGTTTTTGAGAAGTGCCCCATTGTCATTTCAGTGGGACTTCAGGGTCATAGTTCTGGCTTGACTGAATGTGAGATAGCTTTCTGCTCTGCAAAGCCTCATTAGACAATGAGACAAAGCCTCATTAGACAAGGAAAGCACCAACACCCATTCTGTGTGCACAGGCCTTGCATAGCTCAGCAGTCTCTTGATTTAAGTATATACAGGGAGCAGGGCAATATTGTGGTATCTTCAGGTTTCTGAAAGTCTTTGGAGTAAATTGTATTTAGAGTAAATGAGGCATAAGTGTTCCACTACTCAGTTCATAAACAATGCAACTTTGCCTTTGTAACTAACTTTAATACCTTTAATTATTTTTCTTTTTTAGTCTTGTGTCTCTCATAAGAGGCCAAGTGGTGACTACAGATGGAACTCCTCTTGTTGGGGTCAATGTGTCATTTGTCAAGTATCCAAAGTACGGCTACACCATCACTCGTCAGGATGGCACGTGAGTTTGCTTGCTTCATTGAGTCCCCGCTTCACATCCAGTATCTTTGCTGATTAACAGATGGTGTGATCTAATGGAACCATGTGGTATCATGCATTGCTTTCCTCTCAGGGCAGAGAGCTATTAAGTAAACACAAAAGTAATTTTTTGCATGGCATTTGGAATACTAACTGCAAGTAAATATGAAAAGGCTGATTTCTGATAATAATGTGTTAGCAGGCATACTCCATTCAAAAAAAATTGCGCTATATCTAGATTTGTACATTACAGTAGTATCCAGCTGAGACCAGAAATATTTTACTTTAAAATGCAGGGCAGGCTTACATTGCTAGAAAACACACACACACAAAAAAAAAAAAAAAAAAAAAAAAAAAAGTAATATCATTATAGAATAGTATCTTTTGTTACAAGTTCCCTTCTGCTGCTCTTGCCTTTTGAAGATCCACTATCTTTTCAGTTTCTTCAGGGTAGAATGTAATCAAAAGATTCTAATTGAATATACTTAGACAATTTCCTGCTGTGCAAAAAAAGTGCTTTTTCTCCCTTCTATCAGCTGTTTGGGAATGCACACAAATTCAGATAAACCTTGACACATTGATTTTTGTTCATCTAGTTTACTGGCTGTGGTAACTAAAATGGTTTATCTTTGACACATGCATCATAAACATTTGCCATTTTATCTTGATCTTGCATGCAAACAATTGAATTGAAATAATTAATATGAGTCAACTGAACTATAAGAGAGTATTTAATTTCCACGTTTACCAGAATATTATTCTGTTATAACAAAAATTGTTGCTTTCAGTGGTTTAATACAATGGTAGGTAGTGAGCTGAACTATATTTATATCTGACTAGATTACGACAATCGTGGAGTGGTTTGTTATGTTGCCAGCATTTACATGCAACTACTGATAGTCACTTCTGTTGTCAGAACAACCTGGAAGTATTTTGCTCATTTAGGTCAGATTTCAAAATGCTTGCACAGCTCCACATTACTGCTATGATTTTGTAGATGGTTGGGAGTAAATACCAAATGTCTCTGAAAAATGGTAGATAAGTTGTCCTAGGGACAGAAATTTTTACCTTATTTGTAGAACACAAACAGCCAAAGTTTTCATTGCTGTTCTCCTGCCACCATGTGTCCCATTCTGTGCTTGACAGACAGCATCTTGTAGGAAAGGGCTAGTTCAGTGTCCAGCTCACTATGAGCTTGACGTCTCTGCTGATTCTATATATAAAGGTGATTCGTAGTAATAAATATAGTGATTTGTTTGCTGGTTATCTTTAAGTTATTTAGTGCACATTGTAGAATACATAGGAAAGAAGATTGTCCGAGTGACTTCAAATCATTGCTTCTCTTGGCTGGATTTCAGTTATTGAGTTGCCAGAGGTTCACGTCCCATTAGTGATCACTTGAAGCATGACACTGCCTGCTGTAGGTATACCTGTGTACCTATTTCATTAGCCAGGAGTGCTATTACTGGAATTATTCAGTCTTGTCACTTCTAAAGCCCACTTTTTTGTAGGTTTGACTTGGTTGCAAATGGTGGAGCATCCCTAACCTTGCACTTTGAACGGGCCCCATTTATGAGTCAGGAGAGGACAGTATGGTTACCGTGGAATAGCTTCTATGCTATGGACACGCTTGTGATGAAGACAGAGGAGAACTCCATTCCCAGCTGTGATCTAAGTGGTTTTGTCCGACCTGACCCAGTCATCATTTCATCACCACTTTCAACTTTCTTCAGCGACGCTCCTGGCCGGAATCCCATTGTACCAGAAACCCAGGTAAGAACAGTGTGAGAGAAACGTCTGTAGAAATCAGTGGTCAGATGGCAGTGCTGGCTAAGCACTTAACACAGAGTCATCACTTGTCCCCTGGAATTACTGTAGCAAATGCCTCTGTAGAGTTGCATTCATTCTGACAGATACCAGGCTTTCTAATGAGGTCTGCAGAAGATACCCGAGGTTTATGTCACCCAGACACATTTATCTTTGACTACCTTGCACCTTATCATTCTCATACAGTATATCAAGTACATCTCTGTATTTCAGTTGACAGCTTAGATGTTTCAAGAGAATTTTGCAAAGGCTTGGTGTGCAATGCTAGCCACAGGCTGTTTTCTTGTATGTTTTTAGGATAAAGGAAAACTCCACAGGTTTCACTACTTTATTCAGTTAGTCTCTGTTTGATACTGTTAGTGGAAGTTGTGGGTTCCTATGACTACATTGCTTATGTTCCCCTTGCATATAACTTGCAGTACAACTACTTGTACTTGCACTTCAGCCAGCTTGGGCTCTCAGAAAGAAGTGTACACAGATATGAAATAATTATTTGTCCAGAAATGTCGGCTGAACTGCACCATTGCACTGATTTGAAGATAACTGTTCCCAGTAGTAGAAAGTCATAAGTTCATAAGGATATGGAAGGCAGTAGTATTATTATTAAAAAACGGCAAAGCACTAATGTAAAATGTTTGAACTTTTTACTCCTCAGGTTCTTCATGAAGAAATTGAGATCCCTGGCTCTAGTATAAAGCTCAACTACTTGAGTTCCCGTACTGCTGGATACAAATCCTTACTTAAGATCACCATGACTCAGTCACTTGTGCCACTCAATCTAATCAAAGTTCATTTGATGGTAGCAGTAGAAGGGCATTTGTTTCAAAAATCATTTCAGGCATCTCCCAATTTGGCATATACATTTATCTGGGACAAAACAGATGCATATGGTCAGAAGGTTTATGGACTGTCAGATGCTGTAGGTAAGTCAGCATATACAAGATCCAAAACTTTCCAAATAACACCTGTAATTCTGACTAAGAAAACTGCAAAGATGTCTCACAGAGAAGCAAATATAGACTAAACAGTTCTTATCTTCCTGACACAATTTATCTTTGTATTATGTTTCTTTTACACATGAAAGATCACATTCAGAGGGTCTAAATTCCATCAGCGTGTCTGTGTTTCCTCATCAGTGGCTGATTTAGAAAGTTTAGACCAGACAATGGGAGTAACTGGCTACAGAAACTTAGGTGAAACCCAGTCCATCACTGTTTTTATTTCCAGTTAACAAATTAACCTCATGCTGGACTGGCTGGCATTCTTCAGTGCATTTGGATTTTCATGCATGGCATTATTTCATGCATAGCCTCTTGCAATATAATAAGTTTGACATGAAAATGGTGTTTTTCTAACATAGTTCAGTCTTTTAGTTCTATAGCTATTTTTAGTTTGCTTGGTTATAGTGGGTGGGAAAAAGAACTATCATCATAATATTCTTAAGTTTTCATTTGATTATCAGAATAATTGTAATATAACAGTGCTAAAAGTGGACATCAGAGCTGTGCCAATGTGGAAAGAAAAATTAACTTCTAATTTTTTTTCCCTATATTTTCTAAAATATTTGTTATAGCTTTTCTTTCTTACATTATTGCATAGGATATTGCTTTCCTGAGTAATGCTTACAGTGCATGTGTGCTTGAAAGCACAAAGTTTTCACTGCTCCTTGATATATGGTATGTAAAATGAACAAACTAAATAAATGCTGCAAACATCTGGCAAATTAAGAGTTTGATCTTGTCCTGTTATCTGCTAGAATAATTTTATTACATTTTCAAAATTGTATTTCTCACTCCCACCAATCCAGTCACTTCCCAATGCCTGCTATTCAAAGCAAAGTGATCAGATCCCTGCAGAGTACATGTGAAGTTTCAAATTTGTGTTTAGCCAAAGATCTGAATTTAATATTGTAGAATAAAAGAGAGGAATATAATCACTCCATCTTCTTGAGGGGGCTGGGGATCTGGGATGCTGAATGATTTGAATGTGCTCTGGACATTTAATTCAGTGGTTTTTTAGCAAGTATATTAGATTTGCTTTTGTTTCATTTCAGTTTCTGTGGGTTTTGAATATGAGACTTGTCCCAGTCTCATTTTATGGGAGAAGAGGACAGCACTGCTGCAAGGATTTGAACTGGATCCTTCCAACTTAGGAGGATGGTCTTTGGATAAACATCATGTACTTAATGTCAAGAGTGGTGAGTTAGATAATTCCATGTGTTTTCTGTGCTATGTGGACTTCTGTCTGTGAACACTACTTACATTATATTTACACTTTAAAAATACCATTTCTACACTCTTTTTGTTTCATCTTTAGCACAGTAAGGTATGGGACATTGCAGTTGTCAGAAAAGTTTTCTTGAATTTCAACAATTATTTTACTGTTTTGCTCAGCATGGTTTTTATTAAAGTTCAAACGTTTATTCGATTGTTCATTTATTGACCTGTAATGTCTTTCTGTCTTCCTTACTTTTTTTTTTTTCTCGTATTAACACACATGTTCCTGATTACTTTTGTTTCACCTTTTTCCCCTCTAATCCAAGATGGGGCTTGAAAGGAGCATGAGTCTGTGATAAGATCCTGAATCTCAGTTCTCTCTCTTTTGTCACCTGTTCACTTTTTCCTCACTTCTCTTTGTGTTTGCATATACTAAGTTGAATGTTCCTGGTCTTCATATTCTACCAGAGACTCTTAGAGAGCTGAATGCTTAGCATATATTTCATTTGATCCCTGTACAGCATTTTCTACATCCTTCCACCAATCCCTGCATTAACAGATTGCAAAGTATATTGTTGCTCAAGAAATCTAAATGTAGTGTTCAGAGTAGGCAAGATCAGGCTATTTGAACAGACTTACAGTGCCATGCAGGTGATCCAGCACTGTTGAGATAGCCATTTGGAAACTGCGTGATAGTCACTGTTGTCACCAGGAGGAAGCCTGGTGCATTAGGATCATACAACTGCATTTCCAAAAGAACATGAGGCTGAGAATTGCTGCCCAGATTCCTAGTCATTGATGATGCTGTCATAGAATCTACTCCTTTCTTGGAGCAGGGGTCTGCTCTTTGAACGTATATTTTGAAAAGGAATACTATCATTAAGGCATTTCTCGAAGCCTAATAAAGTTCCTTGCCTCTCGCTTCCCTCTTGCCTTTTATCACTGATCCTTAGCAGCCTTTCCAGGAATTTCATCTTTCTCCTGTCTTTTTATTTTCTGTGCTATTGTTTTCTCTAGCACCTCTATTTCTTGTTTTTCATTTTCCATGAAAAAAGTGTAAAATGCTGAGAGATGGAAAGAGAACAGTCAGATTGGCAAAAAATTCCTAGTGAAATGTAGCATAGGAAATGAGTGAGAGGATCCACGCACACAAATAAGGAAAACATCTTCTCCACTGTGCCTTCTTACTTCCCAGTTCCTAAGACAATCTAAACCATTATGCTAGACCAGAGAATTGTATAGGACTGTTTTCTCTCACAATCAATACCAAAGGGCTCTGGCTTTAGGTTTGGCTCTGTGATTGTGTGTGTGTTTTAACAGAGAATCTTCATTACACCTTTACTTTTACTACTGTAAAGCTCATTCACTCTGGAGTAATTTCTCTGTACAGTCCTTAACAGCAGCTGTTGAAAAGAGAACTACCACTGAAGTCCTCTGATTATTACAGTCATTCATTGCACTTCTTCTCCTCTTTGCTATTAGGTATATTGCACAAAGGCAACGGAGAGAATCAGTTCCTAACTCAGCAGCCAGCTGTGATAACCAGCATTATGGGGAATGGGCGCCGAAGAAGCATATCCTGTCCTAGCTGCAATGGTCTGGCAGAAGGAAATAAGCTTTTGGCACCTGTAGCGCTGGCAGTGGGTATTGATGGAAGTCTCTTTGTTGGAGATTTTAACTATATTCGGCGTATCTTCCCATCCAGGAATGTCAGTAGTATACTTGAGCTGAGGTAAGGTGTTAATCTTAGCACTTCATTTCTGTAGCCTGTGCTCAAATCAGCCTTTACCATTACTTTTTATAATTTTGTGAAACATTGTCACTTTCAACCTATTTGAATTCCAGTGGAGAAATGGGGCACAGAAATGCATAGTTCAAAGTCTGTAGCTTATCAGAGCAATGACTACAGAGGAGGACTGAAGAGTACAAACCAACCTGTACAATAAGTACAAAGCATCTTCTTCTATCTTGTTGTTGATCATTTGATACAATCTCCCCTCAGTATTATACGTCATTTAGTTTTGTTGGAAAACTGCAGAATTGACTGCCCTTAGGTATTGAGCCACGGTGATAAGCAAAGGTATAACAGTCTTAGGAGGTTAGAAGGAAGGTTTTCCTGTCAATGGTTTTGAGAGCCACTTTCCCACCTCTTTCCCATGCTCCTAAGTCTATTTCTGTAGGTTAAGTGCAGTTAAGATTGACATACAGAGTCACTTTGCATCGTCAGAACTCTCTTTAAGGTTGTATCTCTGTTTCTCCATCCTGCCCCCACATTTACAATTTGGTCACTTAATAGGGAAGGTGCGAGTGTAGAGTGTACCACTTCACCCTTTTCTGTTCCATCTTCTTTTTTCATTCTTCTAGGGGAGGCAAGAGCTATTGCTTCACACCATAACTCATGTAACTGGACCTGAGAGTTACAGTATTGTTGAATACTTGCAGAAAAATGAGGAAAAATGGCTTGCATTGGTTGTCTTCTGATACTTCTGCAGCCCACTCAGGCTCTTGTGAATTGGGTAGAGCTGAAGTGGAAATAGTGAATTTAGGTCATTAGGCTTTTCTTAATTATATGGCCAATAACCAACTCCTTTGCTTCCACTGTGCTTTAGTTTTTAAATAGTGGGAAAAAATGCAAAATGATTGGACTGTTAGAGAATAGGAGGCCTAGCACTACTTTACACCTCTCTTCCATTCATATCATTCTGTTGATGTCACTATTGTGAATTTTGATTTTATATAAGAGAAACGGGATCTAATTTGGGCCAATTCTACTCTGAAATCACTCTGACACCTACTTCATACACCATCAGGCTGCCTCATTGTATTTTAAAAGAAAAAGTCCTAGATAATCCAGTGCTTTCTGCTGGCAGCTCAGTATGAACCACAGAAGGTAGCTGGTACGGATGTGACCTGCTATAAATATTTATATCAATATACTCTCTAACACTTCATTATATAGAGTAAGCTGATTTTTTTTTTTTTTTTTTTTTTCAGTTCTGCTTAGCTTTCTAGTAAATAGGACTACAGCTTTATAGGTAAAGAGAAGCATTTTCAGATTAGGATACTTAATGTGACGCATTTATATGCACCTCACTTGCTAATATCAGCCAGGGGCAAAGCTTCCTAGGGCACCTGATATTTGAAAAAGTTGTCTCAAAGTTTACAGCAGTATTAGTCTGAGTACTTTGCTTTCTCTCAATGCAAGAGAGAACTTGGGCTTTTCAGCAAGTGTGACAGAAAACGGGAAAGGACTTCAGTAAAGAAACAGATGGACTCCTTAACTTGCTTTTGTCCATCTTCTCTTTTATGGTGTAGTTTCTTTAGCTTCTGTTATAACTGTCAACAATGAACTATTTGCTGATATGAACAATGAACAATAAAGCTATTGTATTCTGGGTGCTGTTGGACAGCTGCAAATGATTTGAGACACAGGTTTTTAGGATTTGCAGTGATGTCTTTTGCCCCCTGTTCCTCTAAGGGGAATTAAGGTTCATTCCAGCAAGTGTCACCTATAGCAATAATCGTGATTCAGTAGTAGTCTTAAGATCTGTATGGGTTACATGGGTAAGAGTTTAAAGATTTGAGCCATTTAAGTATGAACAAGAGCAGAATCTTCAGCTAGTATCAAGTAGCTTGAATAACATTGCAAATAGTATGTCCATAAATATTATAAACCAAATACATCACTTTATTTAGATTTCACAACAGATGTAATTTTGGTTTTACATAAGCCAGCATAAATCTTGAGTAACTTTACAAGTCAGAATATCCCAGTGTTCATCTTTCCTTTGCACTGTGCTTTAGGAAGGTGCCTGATGTGAGTGGCTAATAGGACTTTTGACTCCAGAGTGTTGTGTGTCACGCTGAACACTGGTATTGCCAGTTTGGGGCTGTGCATTGTGCTGGAGCTCAGGAGACATGCACCTCTTTGTTTCAGTCAGTGGATGTTCCTAAATGGAGATGACATAAACACAGCCAACCACTGTGGTGTGCAGACTGTATTAAGTTACTTCTGGAAACTAGAGGACAATCTGACTTTGTGTCTAGACAGTAAAAGAGGGATCAATTAATGCTGTGTATCTCCCATTGTACAGTAGCTTACTGCTCACTTAGAAGGGTTTTTTTTTTACCCTGAGATTTGCATTGATAGGCTTAAATATATATCAAGTAGCATCAAAGCTTGCTTTAAGCAATTATTTTAGAGACTGGAAGGAGAAGAAAATAAACTGTGTAGTAGAAATGTGTTTAGAAATAGCCTGTTGGAAAGCTGTTTTGATTAAAGAGGTTGCCTCTGACTGGTGAACGACACCCAAAGCCCAGTCCTTCCCCCTTCCAGTTCTGTATTCAGAAAGCTGCCGGTTTCTCTCGCTCCTGACCCACAAGCTACACTTATTTCTATGTGAAAATGGTGCAGAAAGTTTCCTGTAAAATATATGGAGGGTGGGGGTTGGGGGCAGGGGTACCCTCCTAGAGAACTAGCTTGCAACTGTCACTGCCAGTTGCTCTTCATCCGCAAAGCAAGCTAAGGCTAGTGCTGAAAAACAGATATCTTCTCCTGTGTCCTTTTGTAAAATAAAACAAATACTATGTTTGCTTTACCATCTATTCTTCAGCTAACTGTTTGTTCTTTTTTCTTCTGTTCCCTTTCTATAAAGAAATAAAGAGTTTAAACATAGGTAAGACACGAGCTCTTTCCCATATAATTTTATATGGTTTGTTTGCTTCATTGTGTTTGCTTTTTGTGTTGTGCTTCTTGTGTAATGTTTTGTTCTTCATGTACCATATATAGAGACATTTTTATGTGCTAATTGTGTGTTATGAATATGATAAGCGTTAGCAATTATGAAATGCAGTCAAAAAGCAACCAAATAAGTTCTGACAGTAATTAGAACTTTCTAGTAGAATGCAAGTATAATGAACCCCAAACTAACTTCTTTATAAATGCTTCTCCTTGCTGTCTATAATTGGTCTAAATGGTTGAGGTAAACTACAGCAACAGTTTTATAAATGCCAGAAAGGTTCATAAAAGCACTAATGACTGCAAATAGGTCAAAAACTCATTTTCTGGTCATTAATGATTTTCTGAACCCTCTGTCCTTTTTCATAATTTAGTTTCTATTTTCTTTCATCAAATACATTTAACAGTCCATCAGCCTGTGGGGCTGGTTCATTGCAACCACTACATGTAGTCACCATAAGATTCATGAGGGAGGCATAACCTTTCTGGACATTAGGAGAAAAGATTTTTTCATCATCCCACCTGAGCACTAGGCCTTTGGATGGCAGCAGCACAGGAAACGCTTGTACCTTCCTCAGTGCCACACCTGGGACAGGGAGGATCTTTACCCTGGAGAGTACCAAGGGCAAGAGCAAGAAGAGTTGTTGTAAACTATTCCATGGTGTCCTGTGCATCACCCTTTTAGAACCATACGTTCCATTTCTGTAATACAAATTAGATGCCAAAGTTGGTCTGGACTAAACAGTGCTATTTCCCCTTTACAATATTTTTGGAGATAAGTAGTGTAATGCCATTAAATTTTCCTATCTGGATGCATTCTTTCACAATATGCTAATGATTATTGGTGATGCTGGAGGCTCCTCATTTGCAATAACTAAGCGTAGCTAATTTTTCAGGTGCTTAGAGATTTCTCTTTTTCATTAAACACAGAGAAAAACTATTGTTGCACTGTTGCAGATGTGATACATATATGAGAAGAATAGGAAGGACGAGCTGGTTGGGCCTACACTTGCTGTCAGGCACCAGGCTCCCTCACAGACCAGAGTAAGACTGTGCTTGGTGGGAACTGCTGCATTCTCCAGGGAAAGCTAGAGGCAGAAACAGAATGCTACAGAAAGTCTTTAAAAACAAGGTACATTCCTTGGCTTCCTCTGATTAGAGTGAAAAGATCTCAATGGCACGGAGAAGAGAGAGGCAGCAATCTTTAATTCGTCAGATGCCAGTTTGAGTAATACTTGCTACTTGTTTATAGAGTACATCCCTCTTTCAGGTAATAATCTCATAGTTTCTTTGGGGAGACAGCAAGTGCATGTAACCTTCCACCAGTTGTTTTCTGCCAAAGTCCCTCAAATATTTTACATGGAAAGTCTTCCGCTATCTGTTACCTTACTGAGTTCAGGAAAGAGCAAAGGGTATGCAGCGGGTATGCAGCTCCAGTGCTTCACTCCTTGATCTGGAACAAAAGCTCATGACTGACTCCCCGGCAAAACTGCCCTGGCAAATCTCCCCTGAGGGAGATTCCAGAGGAGAAAGGCAGGGTGAGCAACATGGCCACACCAGTGACTGCAGGAGAGGAGAGGGGAATAAGCCCATGGTCTATCCTTGCTCTTTACCCTGACCCATACCTTATCCCATGCTGGTAACAGGAGGACATCCTTGAGGCTGGCTGTGGGCAGAAGGGAAGCAGGGGTGTGCTCGCTCAGGAAGGCAGGCATGGGCTGGCAAAACCGTGTCTGCACAGAATGGAAACCCTTCCTGTGTCATGGAGTGGCTGCTGCTCCATGTCAGGCAGCAGAGCAGCTCCTCCGGCACTGCCATGAGCAGAGTCCAAGCAAGGTGCCTGCCTCTGACAGCAGGCAGCTGTGCCTGTGCCCAGCTCCGGTTTGTACCTGCCCCCTCGGGTCTCCTGTTCGGCCAGGGTGGGAGTGCTGTGGGTTTGAGAAGGTCCAGGCCTTAAAAAGGCACCCTGGGCCAGCAGAGAGGCAGCAACAGCGAGTCTGCAGCTGCAGCACTCGCTTCCTGGCTCGTCTGCTGCTGTTGCAAAGCCCTGAGCTAAGTTTGGGTGCATTTGTGAAGTATGGCACAACTCCAGTGTCACAGCAAAGTGTGTTCATCAGTGTAGGGGGAAAGCATGGTGGGAGAAGAGAGCAGGATTTCAAAACAATGACAAATGTGCAGATGTTTGTATGGTTCAGCTACTCGAGAAAGTGTAGAAATCCTGTAAGTGGAAAGAAATATTTTTCCATGCGGCAAACAGGATGGAGGTTTGTTTTGGAGGGATGAAAAGCAATGTGGTAAGGGTCTAGTGAAGAGGTGCAGCCTGCTGCTGAAGATGAGGAGAGGAACTTGGGGAATAAAGAGATTGTGCTCTAATCTCAAGCATGTCACTAGTCTCCCTGCATAGCTTTGTGTACACCACTTAACCTCTCTGTGCCTCAATTTCCTCCTCTGTAAAATGGGTGCAATACCCATCTTTTTAAAGTACTTTGAGATCCATGCATGAAATAAACCTGCCAAATATTTTTTGTTTATTGTATTCTTTCATCTCTAATTTCTACACTCCTAGACTTCAGCGGGTGGTATTACCTCTGCCTGCTGAATTTTGATCAAACCAATCTCCCTCCTATTTTCTACAGTATTAGAAAAAACAGTTACTGACCTAAAATCATGGCATGTCAAAGACTGGCATAGAGGAAGATAACTGTAGAAAGTGGTATTTTTGGGTCTCCTCATTCCTCCAAATCTGGTCATGACCACATGAACGCAGTTGTCTTTGCGCTGCTGATAATCCAGCTGCCGAAAGCGGCCTTGTTATGTTTCAGCAAGTCTGATCAAGAAATGGCTTGTCCATCATAACTTACCTCTGCGTATCCTCACTCTTGGAGATGGGCACATTTGCCACACGAAACTAGGAGTGTGGATATTTGGAGGCTAATATCTCTGGTTACTGGTAAGTAACCTTCATTTTTTTTCTTCCTGTCTTCATTTGTCTTCTATGCTTTGAAACCACCATTGACCTGATTTACGTTCACCCATAGGCTCCAAAGGCTGGAAAATTCACATCATGCTTAAAATCCAACTAAATTGAGTTAAACTAGCCAAGCAAGATTTTGAAAATATTTCTGCACTGCAGTTCTCTGTGTGTGAATGTACATATATTGCAAAGATTGACATTTCTCAATTTTCAGATGATTTGATAAAGTAGTTCCAAAATGTGATAAGCTGTCAAAAAACATATATTTCAGAAGAGAAGTAGCTTTCCATATGAGCACCCATTCTGATCACAAACTGAGGACCAGTTTTTCAATAACAGAAGGTTTGGAGTGAAAGTCAGACACTTGGGGTCTCTGGTTTTAGTTATATAAGCAACTTCATTTCCTGTAAGTGAGATTCTTGATAAGAATGAATGAGAACAAATTTGCATTAGGAATAAATTTGTTATGCCTCTGCCTCCTATTTATACAAGACCTCACAAAACTTGTGGTATAATATAATTCAGAAGCTGATTCTTGGAATTTACTCCTATGACTTGTGCTTTCATGGGAAGTTAAACAAAGTGATGGGGAGAGGAGGCAACAGGTAGAGAGAAGCTAAAGCAAGTTGACCTGAAGAAGATCTAAAAGGCTAAAGAGATCAAGAGGAACGTCTGCTGTGCAGCTGTGGCTTATTGGGCTCTGCTGTGCAAGGTTTGGTGTAGCAGGATGAATGACATCTAAAAATCACAGTCCTCCTGTAACACTGACCAGGCCCTAAGGACATTAGGTCCTCAGATGGTAGTCCTTCAGACGCCACCTCTGTACTAAGGTGTCAGACTTTCTTGCCAGATCTCTGTGCCCAATGAGTATCCAAGCTCTGAAAGCCTGTGAAGCTTCTAGACTGCTCAGCTGTTTCTGTTTTATGCTTTCTTTTTCTCTAAAGCAACAATCCCGCTCATAAATACTATCTGGCCGTGGACCCTGTTTCAGGCTCGCTGTACGTGTCGGACACCAATAGCCGACGGATATACAAAGTCAAGTCCCTCACTGGCACGAAAGACCTAGCTGGTAACTCTGAAGTGGTGGCAGGGACTGGGGAGCAATGCCTGCCCTTTGACGAAGCCAGATGTGGGGACGGAGGGAAGGCAGTGGACGCAACCCTCATGAGCCCTCGAGGTAAAGTAGAAGAAGAAGCTGGAGAAAATGACTCCGTGAGGCTAGGCTAGATGTGGAAATAATTATCTGGCAATTAAATCACTCCTTGCTCAGTAATTTTTATTCTGGGCTTTAATTACAGTGGATTGGCAAGTGTTCGTGCTTTGTTTAGTTAAAGCAAACTTTATTACCCCAACACTGAATGCTGCAAAAGGAGAACAGAACACAAATTAGCAGGGTACCACTCACTCCAAGAAGCAAGTGTGGAAACTGGGCAACAAATTACTGTTTGAGATACTGTCTTTGGGGAGAAAAACTGCCTGCTGTGGCTTTTTGCTGAGTTTATATTCTGTGTATCCCCTTTTTCTTTAGATGCAGAGGAAAAATAAAAGGATTTCTGCCTTTTCCAGTTTCTCATTTTTAACAAAATGTTTTCAAGATGATGTGGAGTTGGAGATGTGTCTCCTCTGAAGATAATTTTTTCCATTGTTTCATTTTAATTGTAAGGATGAATTAATCAAGTGTATAGCCATGCGTTTCAAACATCTTTGAGTTTTATTTCAGGGGTTGAAAGTAACTCAATGATCGAAAAACCGAATAAAAATGAAAGGTCCTGTTTCTTTGTATAGGTAATAATTTCAGTTAATGCAGAGTATATTAACAGAACAGAGCTGCTTGCATGTTTTAAGTTAAGCATCTATGCAGAAAGTAAGAAGATAAAGCTTTATTCTCACTGTCCAATAGGATGATCACTGCAACCATTTAAAGACAAAATTTTTAGATTAATACTTTAGTTTCAGCCCAAGAAACGGACAAAGCTGTGCACCAAATCAAAGCAGGAGAGGCAAGTGAGAAAAGGCCTGCCCTCCTTCATGACAGGCAGCAACACCCTTCTGTTTCCTCCAACGGACCACCCTTTCATTCTGTGCCTTTCCTCTCTAAGGACTCCCAGTGTGACAGGCATTGAGCCTTTCCTTTTTCTCTAGGCTGGAAACCTCTGTGTCTTCATCTCAAAACTCCAGGTTGTTCCTCCCATATTCTTTGCTGCAACAGGTCAAAGAATTAAACAACTTGAGAGAATGTTATTTTTCAAAATTTTTCAAGCAATTTTAAGAGATTTCTAAAAATTCTTCATCCTTGTTAGATCCTTCAGATGAAGAAAGCAAAACCTCAAAATTCTGAGGTTAAAGTTTAGGATTTTTTTTTTTTTTTTAATTATTTGTTCTGTAATATACAGAGTTTGACTTTAGGAATAAGCATTCTGCTGGCTCTTTGGCATATTTTGAGTATTGCTGTGGTTTTCTTTTTTTCAAAGCCCCAAAGGATGAACCTGTCTGATGTCATTTACTCAGCAGAACTACAGATACTGTGTATGGTTCCAGGACCTCTGCTTGTATTGGAAGGGAGGAAGGAGCAGGGGAAGTGAACAAATGTCACCATCTTGTAAACTTGTTAAGAAGATGAAGCCTGCCTTGAAGGTAGGAGTGTCACTGCTTCACTGATGCCTGGGGTTTGTCTTTGCAGGAATCGCCGTGGATAAGTATGGCCTCATGTATTTTGTTGATGCCACCATGATTAGAAAAGTGGATCAGAACGGAATCATATCAACCCTGCTGGGCTCCAATGACCTAACTGCCGTTCGACCCCTCAGCTGTGATTCCAGCATGGATGTCACCCAGGTAGACTCTTACTGCAGTTATTTTCTTTTCTGCCTTAGAAAAGATGGGCATCTATTTTGGATGACTGCCTGGCCACTTAAGAAGTACATTATGCAGAACAAGGTGATAGCATATTTGATTCATTACTGAAATGAGTGAACCATCCTTTTACTGTGGGTAACACAGGTTATTTATGCAGCTATAGAGAAATAAGGTTGAGATAATGGGAGTTATTGTCTTAATTGCCTGTTTTTCTGTAATTATTGTAGAGCTTCCACAATGTAGCGTTCATTCTTTGCACAGAAACACAATTAGCCAAAGTTACCGCTGCACGTAGCTTTAATATTTCCGAAAAACAAAATCTTTGTTTGAACTAGTTGCCATTCATGACTTGATTTTGTGATTTACGCTGATAAACCCCTCACTAATTTGCTGTTATTACACGTGGAATTTTGAACACTAGAAGTGTACTTTTCAGTTTCGCGTTTTACAGTAATAATTTGTGCAACTCATAGGTACGGCTGGAGTGGCCTACTGATCTCGCTGTCAATCCCATGGACAACTCCCTTTATGTCCTAGAGAACAATGTTATTTTACGGATCACAGAAAATCATCAAGTTAGCATTATTGCTGGACGCCCCATGCACTGCCAGGTTCCTGGTATAGACTACTCTCTTAGCAAACTGGCTATTCATTCTGCACTTGAATCAGCCAGTGCCATTGCCATCTCACACACAGGAATTCTTTACATCAGTGAGACAGATGAAAAAAAAATTAATCGGCTCCGCCAGGTAACTACCAATGGAGAAATATGCCTTCTTGCAGGGGCAGCTTCAGACTGCGATTGCAAAAATGATGTCAACTGTAATTGCTATGCTGGGGATGATGGGTATGCCACTGATGCCATCTTAAATTCACCATCTTCCTTAGCTGTGGCCCCAGATGGTACCATCTACATAGCTGATCTTGGAAATATCCGCATTAGGGCTGTCAGTAAAAACAGGCCCATTCTTAATTCTTTTAACCAATATGAAGCTGCATCTCCAGGAGAACAGGAGCTGTATGTCTTCAATGCTGACGGGATTCACCAGTACACTCTCAGCCTCGTTACCGGGGAGTACTTGTACAATTTCACCTATAGCAGCGATAACGATGTCACGGAGGTGATGGACAACAATGGCAACTCCTTGAAGGTCCGTCGGGACACCAGTGGGATGCCCCGCCACTTGCTGATGCCGGATAATCAGATTGTCACGCTGGCTGTTGGCACTAATGGTGGACTCAAGCTGGTCTCAACACAGACCCTGGAGCTCGGCTTAATGACATATAACGGAAACAGTGGTCTCTTAGCAACGAAGAGTGATGAAACAGGATGGACAACATTTTATGAGTAAGAATGTTTTTGGATCTATTAAGCGTACATTTATTTTTCAAATGGTAGTGAGTAGGCCCTAAACTGACCCTACTGAAATTTGCTGTAGGCTTTTCACTGATACTGAATCAGGCCGTTACATCTCACTCTGGTATGATACTGGAAATGATTAAGTGACTTCTTCATTTCATCAGTTTTGCCGGGTCCTTTGAGTGGGTTCCGAACCACCTAAATTCCTGCCCTCAGTTTGAGGCCAGAGGGGAAGCTCGCCCACCTCCAGCACAAAGGACTGTGTGCCACATTCAGAAACCCATGTTCCATTTATCACATTTGGGCCCCTGCCCTCAGCCACCAGTGAGGCTGCAGATAACTCCCATCCATACCAGCCCCAGCAACCCGTGGCTCCTACTGAGCTGCCTCTCTAGGAACCCCAGTGCTGCCATTTCTTTTGGAACTCAAATTATATGTGTTTCTGTTCAGACTCATATATTACTCATGGTTGTTAAAATGTTGATTTAGGTTCAGTGATTCTTGAGACATGTGAGGAAATTAGATCCCCAGCTATCTGTCAGACCTCTGGTGTAGCTTGCATAATTTGTAGGTAATCCAAAAGCACACTAGTGTTCATGAGTATATAGATTAAGAAGACAGAACTTCCTCTTTAAATGAAATTCATCAGAGATTAAGTTCAAAAGTACATTAAAAATCGAGAAAAACTAGCCAGATTTTTATTAATAGTTATCCTATTCCTAGCAGTCTTATTGCCATTTATTGAACATTGATATATTGAAAATGTGTAACTTTTAAGTATGGCAAGTCTGAAGCTGTATATTTTGTTTGAAATAATTATCACTAAATACTGTTTCTCAAATTAGTGGGTAGAAAGTACAAATAGGGCTTTATATTTAATTTTAAATTGTAGTCTTATTTTTAGGGTTACAGACTAGCAATGACGCACACCTATTTTAGCTTGTTAATGCATTCATCTTGGCCATCACTTGCTTTCTTTTTAGATACAACGTAAGTAATGCAGGAATAAAAGGAACTGTGGGCAATCTGCTCAAAACACATCTAAATCAGCATCGCACACCAGTATTTTGTCCACCGTGTTTCGTTTCGGTAAAAAGGAAAGCAGTGCCCTCTCGTGGTCCCCTCCTGAGGTGGCCCTGGAAATTGAAGCACTGTGATTTTTCATATGGGCTCTGGGTAGAAATGTGGAGGTTTTTCTCCTTAATATTTTGCAAAGAGCATTTCTTTACCACGCATTAGTCATTAAAATAATCCAGTTACATGAACACATGAAGGTTTTGCCTGCTGATTAGAAGATCAAGTAAAAAGCTCACTGTACTAGACGGCTGTAAAATCTCACACTGTTGCTGATGAGATGTGGATTCCCCTCTGGGTAGGGTTTTTTTGTTGATTTTTCCTCAGTACCTAGCTCAAGATTCAGATAAGTCATATAAACTAGTTATTTCTCAAAACACCAGTAATTAATTGTAGAAAATTAAATAGCAAAGTAATTTAAAACTCTACAGGAGTAATTTAATTGCACATTACTCAATAAAGTCATTTGAGTAATTTAAAACTTTGCATACTCATTACAAAATACCAGAAAAATAGACGCATCACCTTTAGGCTGATCCTAAGCAGCTGAATTACAGTAACTCTTTCATATGCTCTGTCATCTCAGGTACCCCCACGGTTGAGGGTTTTATTAGTAAGATTATGAGAACTACTAAAATCAATTTTACAAACCTAAACAATCCAGTCTACAGTCATTCAATGCTGATTTCTAGTTTCTCTTTGTTCTTTGAAGCACCTCCAAGGGAAAAATCTGTCACTACAGATTCATCACTGTGCAATTTATTTTGGTAGCTATGAGTTAATATCAGTTGAAGATGAAAGGAATACTTAGCCAATGAGAGTTTCTAAGGACTATAAAATAGTTTTTCATGCTATTGCATTCCTACAGGGAGAAACCCAAAACTCTTAATATGGCAGCAGAACTGGAAAAGAACAAATGTCTTTTAGGTAGTAAAATACTACATGAACTGGAATTCCTATGAAAAAATTTATTTCAGTGCATTTATATCAACCACGTGTTGAAGTGCCATGCTACCTCGTTGATTATATTCCTTTCATCTGAAACTGTACCCTGGAAATGCTCACAGAATTGAATTTGTGCAGCATATCAAGGTATACGTGTGCATACAGAGAGAAACGCCTACACAAACTATTTTTATGTGTGGGAGTGCAGACACACTCCAAAGGTACATTGTATACGTGGTGCATGTGCATATGCACACAGTTCATTTGCAGTGGGAACAGGCAAGCCTCTTAAATAATGTAACAGCTACCAGCAGGCTCACATGGGGTAATTTAAGCTTGGCTTGGGGCATGAAGCTCACATCTTTGAAGTGGTCCTCAGTGGTATTCCATTTGGTCTTGGGAGCATCCTAAGAGAATGCTGTGGTTTTCTTCAATCGGCTCAGTTTTTATAAGGGAGAAAAAAAAGGATATATGTAAATGTGTGTGGATCTGCACCTTGCCCTGCTCTATGCTGTCAAAAGCTGCCGCTCCTGCTTTCTGCAGCACTGGGTATGTCACTGTCCTAGCTACTCCCACCTACAAGCTGTGGAGCAGGACACGTCTCAGACCTCAAAGACCAGAATGCTAGCAATAAAAACTGTAATAAGATATAGAGGTGCCATGATACTGCACACAGGTGAACAGCCTTCAGTGCGCTACCACAAGACCACTGAAGGGATGCACAGGTCACATTCTTGTAGCTATCTGCGAAGGTGATGACCACCTGTTGGGTTATAGCTGTGTTTGGTGCCCCAGCACACGTGAGCTGGCTGTGGTGGGCTCAGCTGCAGGCAGAACTGGCCCACAGCTTTGGTGTCTGGGTGGGGTGCTTGTGGTGGGTGTTACCAGAGCTGTCCTGGGAACACCCATCTCAGAAACCTTCACCTGCTTGAACTAGATCGCAATGGGCAATACGTTAGTTAGTAGCAGGCACAAGGACATGCTGTTTTTTTAAGATACTGGGATCAGGAAAGGATCTCTCCCCTGGTAACTTGATTAGTAGAAAAACTTGGGATGAAACCTTACTCTAACTGAAGTCACTAACCAAAGCTCAGGGGTTTCAGTGTGTCCAGAAACCACCTCATTTGAAGACTGAAAGATTGGCTTATCAGATCTGATTCATCTAGCATGGCGCTGTGGTATGTGGTGGCTGCTTTTGAAGAAGACACCAGGAAGTCCCAGGTCAATTAGTATCTTTTTCCACTGCAGAATTTCCTTTTTTCACTTCATTAGAGCTGGGTTCATGTCATGAAGAATAACACTATGTAGCTAATTAATTCCTATGTAGCATTATTCTTGTTACTCAGATAAACATCTGGGTGTTGTATTCCGCTAAGAACTTGCTCACATGTAAAATATAAATTAAAACAAAATACCTCTCAATCATAGAATCATAGAATGTCTGAGCTGGAAGGGACCTCCAAAGGTCATCTAGTCCAACCCCCCTGCAATAAGCAGGGACATCTCCAGCTAGACCATATCTACTTGTTTTGAATAATATGTCACTTCTACATTTTGTAGCACATAAAAGGGTTCTGTTTTATTAATTTTATTTTTTTAACTTTAAGTTATGTTTTAAAATAGGATTTTATTGATGCAATGGCTAAGGTAGAAATGCCTTCTCTATACACTGGTATTGTATATATCGTTAAGTAGTGAATTTTTTTATATGTCTACCTCTCAGTCTAAATGATCTGCAGGTCTTCATAGAGACTACTTTTGTATGTATCACTTTAAATGTGTCCATCACTTGCTTATAACCCTTTTAATCTCAGCTCTTGCTGATTTCAAAAATTGTTCCCAGCACTGGGAGACATGCCCCATGGTGGAGGGCAAAACACTGATTTCTAGAAATAGCATTAGAATATTTTCATTTTTCTGTTTCAGTCTCTTTACATCCTCATCCATATTTACTTTTTAGACTGCCCTTGCACTTTGTACAGAGATTTTCGGTGAGTAGCCCACAGCAATCCCCAGGAATTTTTCCTGCGTTAATTAAAAACCCAGCAAAATGAATGAAGAGTTTAAATTAATGTCTCATTTGCACTGCCTAAAATATATTCACTGATGGGGAATTTTGCCAGCCATTTTTCTGGGTGTTCACCAAGCTCTGCGTAGTCACACTGAAGCCACTCATGGGCGTTTTGAGTCTGTCCTAAATAGCATTGTCTCTTCTGTAATATTTGTCACCTAGGTATTCTCTTTGTCACTCTGCTCATCACTGAACATACCAGAGTAGTCCACGTACAGACTCGTAGGGCGTATCTCATTAGTAACCTCTGAGATCTTTGAAACAGTCCATATTTTGTACTTTTTTCCCCTTGCTAGATGGATGCTTGACTGGATCAAGTTCTTCCCTCATCTATATGTTACAAGTACTTTTCAATATTTCTTTTGTGAAGACATTTATAGTGATTTAACCAAGCCCCTTTTCATAGATTATTGTCTTTTATCCAGTATATTGTTGATATGGTAAAAGCATAATTATGTAACAATATGTTTAAAACTGTGTATAGAAACTAGTGACTTCTATTAAGAGAAATCATGCTGCTTAATCTTTATTTGATCCTGACCTGCTTAAATGAACACACTATATTATTGGTCCCTTTTAGGTTGCATGATGATTTGTTTTATCGATTTGCATCTTTGCCTAATACTTCCGTTGGTTCTGGTAAGGTTTGTTGCTCCACAGGTGATTTTTTTCTTTCCTTCCTCCCCAATATTCAGTTGAATGGGTACAACCATTAGCAATGGATTTGAAAGTCGTATTTTATATTTGTATTAACTGAGGAGTCAATTTGTGGATTAATTTTGGAGAAATGCTATACAGTTCAGGTACCCTACTTTGAGGTTTCTGAATGATTTAATTGTTCAATGTCATGTTGAAAGCACTGCTTTTTTTTCATCTTTACAGCTAACCACGACGTACAAAGAACTCAACTAGCTCCATGATACTAAATGTGCTCCTCTTCTCTTCTGTTACTCTCAGGCAGTGCAATGGACTTACCAGTTCTCTTCCAGGCTTCTCGCTCCCAGAATTTCTTCTGCGTTCGAAGGATGACCAGTTGGTTTCAATCTCTACCTAAACTTTTCCCTTTATCTACACAGGACATTTTTTCTTGCCTTTCTGCTGTTTAGAAGTATGTGCGCTTTGGTAGCGGCTGGGTGAGAGACTCTTGCTCAAGTAGTGAATTGCAGCAAGCAGAATGTCAGACTGGAATACTGATTTTGTTTCAGGTCCCCATTTCTTGCCCTTAAGATCCAAGCGATTGCTTCTTTAGCATATGTATGCACACAAATACAGCATACTAAAGGAAAGGGAGAAACAGTATGACTTGTTTTCAGGCAGCATTCCTTCTTTCCCCCTCCCCGGGCTTTAAACCTCTAAATAAATTTAATTCAAACTCATGCAGAGCCCTTTTTCTTTTCTTTTTTTTTTTTTTTTTTTTAATCTGTATGCCTCTGGAGCACTTAATGCATCTTCTAAGGTATATTCTGAGTGCTGATTGCTGCCCTTTGTGCAACTCCAACCTATCCTGTGCTTTAACTTGTCATCATTCATCTTTCTAAGCCAAGATATTGAGCCCAAAATGCAGTCCAATACCACAGATAAGGTTTAAATGAAATTATGTTTTCAAGTCAATGTCTTTTTTAATCTCTTATGGCAAGTTTATTTCTTGATATATCACTTAAGACTGTACTTACTGTTTCCACTAAGTATTCAGTTGCAACTGTACATTGTATGCAGTTGTATAAGTCCACCTCCTTAGAGTGAAATGAAACTGCTAAAATACAGATGAATTTGCTAATTATAATTGTTTGAGCCAACTATCACTCTGTGCATTTGTAATTATTTAAATAAATAATGTAAAATAACATAAAAGATGCTAGCCTGGGCTTACACTCACGTAATTGAGATCAGTATCTCTAAAAATAATTATTTCATCATTATAGACTCTTTCAAGAACAGAGAAATAGGTATGGCCAGGATGTTCTTGAAAAATCTGTTTCGCTCTGGGTTTTTTGCATAAATGTGGTGCATTATTAATACATTGGGTATTGAAATGAACATATCTCCTCATGCTTTTTTGCTCTCACTAACTTTTCTATTAGCTATGATCATGAAGGGCGTCTGACCAATGTAACACGTCCCACTGGAGTGGTAACTAGCCTTCACCGGGAAATGGAGAAGTCTATTACCATCGACATTGAGAATTCTAATCGGGATGACGATGTCACGGTCATCACAAATCTCTCCTCTGTGGAGGCTTCCTATACAGTTGTTCAAGGTACCAAAGCACACTTCTCAGCACATCTCCTAACCACACACACAACTTGAAAAGCAATTTGCAAAAGATTTGTGTCATTAGTGCAGTCGTGAGCAGGGGAAAAAAACATATAAGGCTTACAAGAAAAACTCCCATAAAATTCATTCCTAAAATGACAGGTCTTCAGGACAGGTAAGAGATATTTCACAGTCATACTTTGTGTCATATGTATGGTCATTATCTGTGGGTTGAAGTTAGTCTGCTGTTACCTCTTGGGTCAAACGCACTTTACTCACTCACATATTTCTCTGTACTTCACTGCAAAATTGGCTCGGACTTCAGTGCCAGAGATGCAGTCTGGCTACCAAATATTGGCTGCCTGGGTCAAAATCCCTGTGGAGGGAGAGGCTCAGGCAGCCTCCTACAATAAGAAATGTAATCCTCCAAATTTATATACTACCATTAAATAAAATGTAGAGCAATCAGGGCAGCGGATGGTCTTGCACCACAGGCAGCACCTCCGAGAACAGCGTTATAAGCCCAGGTATGGCAAGAGAGGGAGCAACAAAGTGGTGAAATGTTTGTGTAGAGCTTTCCAGCACTGCCCAAGCATTGCATCTGATGAAGCAAAAGCAGTCAATTGTCAGAGATAGACTGAAAGGAATTCGGTGAGTGAGGGTCTTTTTAGTTAAGATATAATGTCACTGGAGTAAGAACAGCATCATCAAACAGCAGTCTCCTCCTGACAGGAACATCCACATTTGTAGACAGTTACACCATGACACGTCTGGTTACAAAGAATTTCTTTCTTTTACACCAGATGATTAATTATGTAGACACTGTCCCTCTGTCAGACAAATATTGATGCTTTGGTGACAGTTTCACACTGTAGCACTCCATCCTGGCTGAGAATGGACTTGGCTGTGCCAAAGAGATGGAGAACTGAAGAGCCGTAGAAGTACAGGGTGATTTTTAGACTTCTCCGACAGGCAAAGGGCCGGGTGTGCATGACAGGCTAGTGCACTTGTGGTGGGGTGGCAGGAAGGCAGGCAGGTGCAGGACTCTGGCTACCACCTTGCATTGCTGGGCCCTCACACTTTGAGGATTTAAAGTCAAACTAATTCTGTACAAAGCCTCTGCCTGGAGACAGTTTTTAAGCAGAGGGAATGGTAAAGAAGAGGCACTGACTTCTTCCCACTCATGAAGAGTCCAGCAGTCTTTAATTATTTTATTTTTTTTGTCCTGGAGTTGAATTTGGTTTTGTTGTTTATCCAGCAGTTCAGTTTTCAGGAGTTTTTGTTCATTTTAGAAATAAATTACGTGACTGAACACATATCACTGTGCATTTTGATTCGCAATTAAGACTGAAGGGAAAATGTAATGAAATAAAGACAGAATCTCTCTGCAGGCTCACTGGTACACTACTGGTCTTTACATGAATCAGTAACATCTGTAATTTACACCATAGTAACACGTAAATGGTAATTGCAAGCTGACTTCATTTAACATCAACAGGAGTGCGATAAAAAAAAACAATCAAATTAAGCTGTATGTTTTCTTTATGACTGGTGTAGCTAAATTATTTTCTTTTCATTATTGCTGTAGATCAAGTGAGGAACAGCTACCAGCTCTGTAATAATGGTACTTTGAGAGTGATGTATGCCAATGGCATGAGCATTAGCTTTCACAGCGAGCCTCATGTCCTGGCGGGGACGGTGACTCCCACCATAGGACGATGCAATATTTCTCTACCAATGGAGAACGGCTTAAACTCAATTGAATGGCGGCTGAGGAAGGAACAGATTAAAGGCAAAGTGACTGTGTTTGGAAGAAAGCTCAGGGTAAGTAGAATCTCTCATTGCAACAACGATTGTTTCTTCTGTGAGCAGAAAATTAATTTCCGTTTTGAAGGACGTGTCTTTCCTATTTTTACTTGTTAAAAATGTACAACTCTGGGATTATCCTTGGTCTTTCCTTTATTTGAGAGGTCAGTTAACAGCATAGGATCATCTGCTGCAGTCAACTATAGAAACTTCATTACTAGAAGTAGTCTAAAAGAGGTTGGTAAAAATACCCAGAATATTGCTGCAAGTCACTCGGCTTCTGAGGAGAGTGGAGGGGGCAGGGTGGGAAATCCGACCACTCACCATTGGTAAAAATACTCTGGCACACTTGTCACAGCCGGTCCTGGGGAGCAAACACAATTGCAGCTTAAGCAGTTACATTCTGCTTCTATAAAATCCCCCTACAGACTCATTGGGACAGGCACATTGTGTTTATTCCCTTTCCCAAATGGCACGATTGGAAAATAATTGCCATAATTACAAAGTCATAAGCATAGGATAAGAAAGACACTCAGGTCATGTAATCCATCCCCTGCCAAATTAAAGATCTGCTGCAGCCAGATTAATTCCTTTCTGTGCTTCACTGGCCTGGTTTTCACCCCTTAAGTATCTAAACTTTCACTGGCTGCTTCAGTATGTAGTTTTGGAAGGGCTTTTAGGTACCAGGCAGAAAACAAATGTATCAAATCCTGGTTCTTTTAATAATTCTTTCAACATCATTGGCATGAAATACAGTTCTATGTATGATATATTGCTATTATGATATATATCATATAAATGATACGTTAAATGCAATATGTGTAAACAATTATGGAACAATTTTTTTAAATAGGAAGATTCGAAAGTTGAATTGTGGTCTTTTCCTACTGCTTAATGTCTAATTCACAGTGTTGAATTAACGAGTCTTTCCTTATTCTCACAAATGCTCAGAATGCACCTACTGGGGAGAGGGGGAAGGTTAGACAAGAAATAGAATGAGATTAGCAGCTAATCCTTAATGACTAAATTTCATGGATGCGTAATTGATTTTTGATGTGTTGACCTGCAGAAGTTGATCATAAGTAGGAAAACAGATCAGCATTGCATTTTGACTAGGTGTTCAAAATAAAATAAATAGGACCCCGAAATGAAATCACTGTAATCCTACCTCTCAATACTAAAAATTTAATAGAGGTACTTGCAGTAATTAGCTGAAGTTAAATACGTTTTAGAGCTGAAACCTTGCCTGAGATGGGTTTTCTTGCATCATGTTTATGCAAATCAAAACACTTCTTTATCTAGCAACACCTCAACATTTAATTGTCTAGTGTTAGTCCCTGTAACAATAATCACATATCCATTTAGCTCTTTTTAAATGAAAATCACTACTAGATTATAACAGGTTGAGTGGACTGAAAATGAAATTTGAAAATGAGGGAAAAAGCGTGGAATTTATTTGCATCTCATTTATTCTATTTCATCTTTATAAATTGTTTAGTGAATGAAATGGAGCGAGTGTGTGGGAGCACTGGGGGAGCTGGGGGCAGGCTGTGACAGGTGGGTGCAGAGCAGGGACACGGCTGCAGAGCTGCCACAGCACCAGGACACCCAGTGTGAGAGTGTGCAGAGCCGTCTCCCAAATCCCCAGTTCAGAGCCAAGTACTACTGGAAGGGATTGTCATTGCAGGGGTGTCACCTCTTACGAGTACTTGCTTATAGCCCTTTTCTTCAGCACTTATAGGGGGCTTCTAAGAAAGATGAGGGCGGACTTTTTAGCAGGGCCTCTAGCAATGAGACAAGGGGTGGTGGTTTTAAACCAGCAGAGCGGAGATTCAGACTAGAGAGAAGGAAGACATTTTTTTGCACTGAGAGTGGTGAGCCCCTGACCCAGGTTGCCCAGAGAGGTGGTCGATGCCCCATCCCTGGAAACATTCCAGGTGAGGTTGGCCGGGGCTCTGAGCAACATGCTCTAGTTGCAGATGTCCCTGCTCCCTGCAGGGGGGTTGGACTAGATGACCTTGAAAGGTCCCTTCCCACCCACACTGTTGGATAATTCTTCAGGTAGTGCTGCTGTCTGTGCCCCCAGCTCTGCTTGCTTGTGCTGTAGGCACATCACAGCCCTGCGTGTCTGCCTCTGCAGATGCCTGGGCAGACTTCATTAAGCTGAGAAACGAAGACCTGCGCTTCACCTTTCTGTTATCCCACCTACTGTCGGCTACTATTTTATGCACCACACGTGCAGTGTTTCGCAGTAGTTTCAGATAAAGTTTTGATAAGGTTCTTTTCTGAAGAGCTTTTGTTACAGTGCAGCATCATGTAAGTTGCAAGATCATCACCCAAAGCATAGAGGGCTCGTTCTTACGGCCACTCATTCAGCAGCAGCCAAAGGAAAGACAGATGTGCTTGTAGGTACTGGAACAAAAGAGCTCTTTAGGTAGTCTTCAGTCATGATACTTGTAATAGTGTTATTACTGAGCCCAGGAAGAGTGGGAGTCAGTCATTCTGTTTGGGTTACTATATAATTAATACGACACTACAATTACAGTCTCTGGTTTTCCTTATTTTACAAATGAAAATGAAGTTACTGAATTATCCAGGCATGGGCTTTATCCTCCAAGTAACATTTGTGTGTGTGCATAGCTCTTGTCTGTGTGTCATCATTTAAAAAGCCCTAATGCTTTCATTTTCTATGGCAAAAAGACTAATAACCTTTATAATAGCTTTGAAAAAAGAGAGGATACTTGGACTCAGACTTTCCTACATGCAGGTTATAGTTACTGTAGAGAACGGAAGAAACTCCAGAAATCCCAACTGCTTTATGAAGCTTCAGAAATTAAAAACCAAAATCAACCAACCAAAACCCTGAAATCTAAAGTTCAGTTTGTAATCTTTTTGAAAGACTGATTTTTTTTTTTTCTTTTTAGAAAATGTGCACATCCTTAAGAAATTGGGGTCTTTCAGTCCTACAGTAACCCTTTAATGTTATTGTTATATGATTTTGAGGGGTGAAAGCTCTCTTTTGCTTCCCCAAGAGCTCTCTGAAAGAAAGGGTTTTGATATCTCTATCATCACTTACAAAACTAGAGTAACCAGTTGAGAAATTACTGATGTTTGGTTTGGCTTCCCTGGCTTTATTTCCTTTACAGTGGGTGAGAGAATATGATTTATTTTGCCAAGGTATTTAAAAAAAAAAAAAATCCTATCTGTTTTTTTGAATCACAGGAGAAGTTGTTGCTGGGATAACCTTTGGGAAAACCTACAGAAAAGAGCTTTTTCTAATAATTGCCCACTGAGGAAATGCAAACTGTTAAAGAGCTAAATTTTATTAATGGAAAAAATTAGGATAATGAGAGATAATTTGAAATAATTATTTCTTTGCAAACACGAGATTGTATTAATTTTAAATTTGCTTTCTGTATAACTGAATTCCTATGGAGTTGGTTGGGATGGGAATTGGGTCTACCCCTGCCAGTGAAAATATCTCAGAATAACTTTTATGTCCTTGAGAAAGGCTCAGGGTTAATTTACATATTGTTTGATGTGCAGTTTAATTTTGGATAAGAGAAAACGTTGCTTAATCAAAGCTACTGTAAAATATAAGCTGAAGAGCAAATTCCCAGAAACTGATGAATACTTTTTAAGTAGTCATTGCTCTCAAATTATATCTAATTTAGAGACTTCTACTTTATTAATGATGCATCTACAATTAAATTACTTTAGAAGCTTTATCAGATTACAGCATTAGCCTGAATTCTGTGTCTTAGCCTCCAGTGAATATATTTATGTATCTCTCATTATAGCACTCTCATAGAAGCCTCTCCATTTGGCATTCTTATGCTCCTTTGTTTCTTTTCACTCTTTCATTAATAAAAAATCTAGGACTGAAACACTTCATGCTGTACTTGGAGTTGAAAATTGCAATTGAACAAGGTGGAAAAAAAAAATTAACCTAATTATTTAGCATTTTTGTTTCTCAAAACTAGAAGTCCATCTTTTCCAGCCAGTATGATCAGGATTTTTAATCAGAAGAAGTGAAGCCCATGCCAAGTGATCAGGTTGCTGAGGGATCTATTGAATATTTGAAAGTAAATGAAGAAAACTTTAAATTAATGAGTTTATAGGCAGGTGTTGCAGCTTCAGAACCAAAGGGGCTACACCTCTGTTAAGACACTGAATTTTAATTTCTTCTATTGTTCTTGGAATTATTGTAGGGACAAGGGCTAAGAACTGCTGATGGCAGAAGTAAAAAGAAATTAGTACTATGCAAAATAATTAGTTCCTCTGCTAAGTGCTAACAATCTGCACTTTAAGTGTGCAGTGTGTTTGTCTGTTCTGAGAACAAAGGAAGCTTTCCTCTGCAAGATTCCAGCTCCCGTGTTGCAGGGAGATGGGAAATTACCCATTAAACCACTCAAAGTTACATATTGGAACAGACCGAGAACTAGGAAGTGAAAGCCAGTGGATGGGAAGACATCCAGCCCTTCCCAAAATTGTGAGGAAGTTGAGTTCTTCTTCAAGCCCACGGGGGTGTAGCATCCACTGCTCGCTGAACGCAGCTTTCTTCCACGCCACAGGTGCACGGGAGGAATTTACTGTCCATCGACTACGACCGGAACATACGCACAGAGAAAATCTACGACGACCACCGGAAATTCACGCTGAGGATCATTTACGACCAGCTGGGACGGCCTTTCCTCTGGCTGCCCAGCAGTGGCCTGGCCGCTGTCAACGTGTCTTACTTCTTCAACGGGCGCCTGGCCGGGCTGCAGCGCGGGGCCATGAGTGAAAGGACAGACATCGACAAGCAGGGCAGGGTCGTATCGCGCATGTTCGCGGATGGGAAAGTTTGGAGCTACACCTACCTAGAAAAAGTAGGTGATGTTGTTTTGCCTTCCTGCAAAGAGACAAAGCACCGTTCAGCTGCATTTTAAGCTCTGTACATAACAGACACAAATTTTCCTACAATTTTATGTATTCCAGCTGTCAAGAATTGCTTCATACCTGGTCTCAAAATTCCTGACTTTTCAATCAGTCAACTGAATCTGACCAATTTTTAGTGGGCAATATTTTGGTCATGGTTTGTGTCTTTTGACATTTTCCTGAAAGGAGTTAGGCTCCCACATAATGACATAAACTAACAGAGTGGATTGTGCTTAATTAAGACCCAAAATGCATGACTAAATGTGACAAAAGGTTTAGGTAGAAATGGGTAATTCATCTCTAATTATTATTTATTAAATGAAAATATGGTAATGCATTTTTACTTAGCCTAATTAAAACACTTCAATCATAAAAGTCTCTTTAATACTTCAAAATTGTATCATATTTTCCCTTTCCCTTCTATGAATCTGTCGTTTTAAGCAAAGCAGAGCTGCTGATCTCTGCTTGTTTTCTTGCGTGTTGCGCAGTCATAGTTGTGAACTACAGCTGCTAGCAGGAAGATGTCATATCATGTATCTAACTCCTCTGCATCCCTCAGAAGAAAAAAAAAAAATCCTATTTAAGGGAGAGTAGCTCACAGGTTGCTAACCTAGATTCTCTCTAGAGTGCCAGCATACTGATGTCCGAGTAGAAGATCATCTCATGTGCCAATCTGACAGTATTCCTGAGCAGCTTTGTGCCCCTGACTAACGTATCTACTTCTCTTTCTGTTCATTTAACATAAATGCCTCTTCAGTCCAACTTTCTTTACCGCCCACTCGGAAAACACATGCCAAAAGTTGATAACTGTGTGTTATTTTTTTTTTCTCCTGCAGTCGATGGTGCTACTGCTTCAGAGCCAGCGACAGTACATCTTTGAGTACGATTCGTCAGACCGGCTGCACGCAGTGACCATGCCGAGCGTCGCTCGGCACAGCATGTCAACCCACACCTCGGTGGGCTACATCAGGAACATCTACAACCCTCCCGAGAGCAACGCCTCCGTGATCTTCGATTACAGCGATGACGGGAGGATTTTGAAAACATCATTTTTAGGTACTGGACGACAAGTTTTCTACAAGTATGGAAAGCTCTCCAAATTATCTGAAATTGTTTACGACAGCACCGCAGTTACTTTTGGGTATGACGAAACTACGGGTGTCCTGAAAATGGTGAATTTGCAAAGCGGAGGATTTTCTTGTACGATCCGCTATCGTAAGATCGGTCCTCTCATTGACAAACAGATCTACAGATTCTCCGAGGAAGGCATGGTGAATGCGAGGTTCGATTATACCTACCACGACAACAGCTTCCGAATCGCAAGCGTCAAGCCCATAATAAGTGAAACGCCTCTTCCTGTTGATCTTTACCGTTACGATGAGATTTCTGGCAAAGTAGAGCATTTTGGCAAATTCGGAGTTATTTATTATGATATAAACCAAATCATTACTACGGCAGTTATGACGCTGAGCAAGCACTTTGACACCCATGGACGCATTAAAGAAGTGCAGTACGAAATGTTCAGATCCCTGATGTACTGGATGACTGTACAGTATGACAGCATGGGGAGGGTGACTAAAAGAGAGCTGAAACTTGGTCCGTATGCCAACACAACCAAGTACACCTACGATTACGATGGGGACGGGCAGCTGCAAAGCGTGGCAGTAAACGATAGGCCAACCTGGCGTTACAGTTACGACCTGAACGGAAACCTTCACCTCCTGAATCCTGGCAACAGCGTCCGGTTGATGCCTCTGCGCTATGACCTGAGGGACAGGATCACGCGCCTCGGTGACGTACCGTACAAAATCGACGATGATGGATTCCTGTCTCAGCGAGGCTCGGATGTATTTGAGTACAACTCCAAAGGCCTCTTGACAAGAGCTTACAACAAAGCAAACGGGTGGAGCGTTCAGTACCGTTACGATGGGCTTGGCCGAAGGGCTTCCTGTAAGACCAACCTGGGACATCATCTGCAGTACTTTTATGCTGATCTTCACAATCCAACAAGGGTAACTCACGTCTACAATCATTCCAATTCCGAAATTGCCTCTTTGTACTACGATCTGCAAGGCCACCTCTTTGCAATGGAGAGCAGCAGCGGGGAAGAGTACTACGTCGCCTCTGATAACACAGGCACTCCGTTAGCTGTGTTCAGCATCAATGGCCTCATGATCAAACAGCTTCAGTACACAGCATATGGGGAGATCTATTACGACTCTAACCCTGATTTCCAGCTGGTTATTGGGTTCCATGGGGGGCTGTATGATCCTTTAACCAAACTTGTCCATTTTACTCAAAGGGACTACGACGTCCTGGCTGGGCGCTGGACGTCTCCTGATTACACCATGTGGAAAAACATTGGAAAAGAACCTGCTCCTTTCAATCTGTACATGTTCAAGAGTAACAATCCTCTCAGCAATGAACTGGATCTAAAGAATTATGTGACGGGTGAGACTTCATTACATTTCTTATAAATAACTCCACAGTTTGGAAGTTGATTTGGGAAAGAAACCAGGCTTCTTACTAGCCATTTGCTGAATCTCCATCAAGGTTGGGCCATTTTCCTTTTTCTTCTATGAAGAGGCTGGCCTAGTCCTGATTCTGTGATACTGCTCCTCACAGAATGAAAGGCACACTAAGTAAGAAGCTACAATTAATTGTGGGTGGGAATAATTTTGCCTAAATATTCAATTTCAGCACAGCCATAGTGCTGCTTTTCCTGTTGAACTAGTACTGTATGAAGATGTGTTTATTCTAATTTTATATATTTAGAAAAGAAAAAAAAAAGAAAAGAAAACCACCTACGAGAATTGCTGGCAGGCTTGTTGCAAAATCAGGAACCAGAACTGCTCAGCATCCCTTCACTTCAGGGCTACTTTGAAAATTGACTGCTGACTGAGCCCATGGGCACATTATGAATTAGCACCAAAAATTTATTTAATTAAACCTCTTTTCCCCATTTAACTTCTAATATGCAAACAGTCTTTAGTCTTTAAAACAAAAATCTTGATTTTTTTAAAATTATTTCCTCCTGATAGACTTCAGAATGTGTAGAGCTGAGAAAGAAAAACAATAAAGTATTTTTGATTGCATATGTTAGAATTGGGTAAAACTTGTAACCTCTTCTTAATTAGTAATAATTTTTCACTTAGTGAGATCACACAACACTTGAACTAGCTGCTGGCAATTTCTAAAAAGAAAGGTAATTAATATGTCTTCAGAAAAGCTTTCTGAGAATTGAGTATGCAGTATACAATAATTAGAGCAGTGATATAATTTTTTAAAAGGAGCTGTCTGAATTTTAGCAGTAATTTGAATTTCAAGAAAAGTGTGCATTTTCTTCAAAGAAAATCATGGTAAATTTCATTAGTACATTGGGTCCTAATCATATGTGTAATATACCTTAGGTTCTTACCTACCTTAGGTAGTTATTTTTCAATTTTAATTTAGTGCTGTTTGATAGCATGGAAATGCTGGTGACTAAAATTACCTTGGGATCAAATTTGGTTTCCCTAAATTCAACAAAACTCCTACTCCCATCCACCACTGTTCAATGCAGATTTCCACTGTCATCTTATGACATTGTGCAATGTTCTGAAATTGCATTCATTTAATTTATCCATCCACTGGATGACATCTAGGAAGATATATTACAGGCAGTGTAACATGCACCTTGCAGTCCATGACATAATTCACTGATGATTAAAATATTTGTTGCTGTATGGGCTAAACAGATTATCTTGCACAAGTGATGACGGTGGCACCTTGGTTACCAAAGTTTAAAATCAGCCAAACAGGAAACAAAACAGAACAAAAACCTTCCCCACCCCAATCCCTTCTTACTGCTGACCCCTGACACTGCTTTACTCACAGGTTTCGCTGGAAAGGAATTCCTGCAGCAAGTGCAGTGCTGCGAGGCGCATTGCCAAAGCACAACAGGAGGACCTAGAAGCAGTTACTATTGGGTTTTTTGTGGAATTAGAGCAGCTGAAGTGAATTGTTCAGGAGATACTGTTGTACTATAAGATAAATTGAAGCCTTACAGGAGCAGTAACCCCATGCTGTCCAAAGCTAGAGGAAAACCACGGTAGGAACTGTGGTGAGAGAGACATACAAAGATCTTCATAGAAGCAGAGTCTTTTACTCCTTATTTTAGTGTCAGAATGGCTAAGAAAGGATGGCTTTTCCTGTCAGAGGTCTATAGCCAAGAAGTATTACACTTTTCAGGATTACCTCTGCTAAAATTTCTGGGAAAAGAGGCTTTCCAGCAGGAAGCAGGTGCCATGTCATGGCTTTTTTTTTCCATTAAAGCATCATTTTGATAACTAAAATACATCATTAGTTCATAATACCTGCTGAGTGAGACCTACTGTTACTCATTTACTTACTTAGCTTTTTCAACTAGGTATGAAGACAAAATTTTACTAGTCAAACCCAGAGCTGGAACTTCCCAAACTTCACCCCAGAGCTGAGCTATAACCCTCCCATGCAGCTCCTACTTTTCTGTACTGGGCCTGGAGGGATGAGGAAGATGTTCATGGTGACTAAATTTAGACGTCTGAATTACAAGTCTAGCTTCTCACTGTATTTAATGGAGCCTCCCGAGACCTGATGACAGCTAATAGACGTAGGACACAGAAAAGATGCCATGTATTTTCCCAAAGGACTTTGCAGATGTTTTTTTAGCAGTACTAACCTAATAAAACATCATTTTACAATACAGTTTATAGGCTATAGTAGCCACATCAGAAGGTGTCAGAGATGGAACAAGTACTGCATACAGTAAAATGTTTCGATAATCCATGTGTTGTAATGGAAAAAGAAGGAAGGAGGTGGTATGTCTGTGATGAACTATTTAGGGTAAATTTAAAGCAGTATTTCCCGTGCCTGCTCGTGATGGGTAACTACAATTGTGTCAAGTGCCATGCTGTAATATAAATTATGGGTTCTACTACTACTTGAAATTAAGGAGGTCAATGATGGATTTCCTAATTTATTTTTTTTTTAATTTCTCGTATTTATTACATTGATTTCTGACTTTCCCTGCTTACTTCTGATTTTTTAGATGTCAAAAGCTGGCTGGTGATGTTTGGATTTCAGCTTAGCAACATTATTCCTGGTTTCCCTAGAGCAAAAATGTATTTTGTGTCACCGCCATACGAGTTGTCTGAGAGTCAAGCATGCGAAAATGGACAGGTAGGCAGAAAGTCAAAGTTATTTTTCTTGGTAAATTTGCCTCATGCTATGAATAGAACTGCTGGCTCTTATGTAGTTACAGCATAAGGCCAAGTATTTATTTCAGTATAAAATGAAGTGAGTATAGCTAGATTTTATACTAATGAACATATGTCTTTCTTGCCAGCCTTGGTTGTTATCATAATTACAGTGTCATTAGTTTGTCTTTTATTGAGTTCTTCCTTGATTAACAAGTTGTAACTCGATTAACTTGATTAGCAATGACAAAGGGAGACTTTGTCAGGGTAATTTGTCATCTGTTGTATCTTTGGTAAAACCATCCTACTAACATATGTGTTGCAATAAACTTAGGTTGGTATTTGCTGAACAGCTAAGAAACCGTTCTGCATCTCACCCCGTAATAGGACTTCTCATCATTTTTTGCCTGACGCTTTTTGTAATTAGAGGCTTTGATTTGTTACTGCAGTTGCTACAGTTAACTTCAGCCACAGCATTCATACATGTCAGGTTAAGGGTGGAAATCGTATATGCTTTCAACCTTCATAACAAATTCAACCCATTCACAACCCATTTAATAAATTTAAGAAGAGTACTAGGCCAATTTCAAACTTAGTCTTTGCTAGGCATACTCCACATTTGGGGTAATACAATAGGAATGATCATCTAAGCCTAAACATACTGCTTGCACAGGCTTCCAAGTCATTGGGAGTCTAAATCCCCTCTTCAGGAATTGCTTTGGTATTTTGGAGCCCAGATCTCGTCTATGTTCAAAAAGACATCCATATGTTATATTCACATGTGCTTTAGTCATATATACTGGTTGAAATCTGAGCAAAAGTATCCAGAAGTTAAGTGCCTTCCTTTAATAGATGGATTCTGTTTGCTCTGGTTAAAACTGTGCTAGGCTTGGGTCTTATTCTTGTAACAGATACTATATAATTTGCCAAAATTGAGATGTGTGCTACATATATGCTACAAAGGGTGATTAATGAGAAATATTTTATTTGGTTTCACTGGTAGCAAAGTAAATTGGCAAGCGAGTACTTGCCTGATTCTGAACAGGGTACGTATGTGGGCAGGGGACTGGAGGTGGGCTTCCCATCACGTAGAACTCTTCGCCACGTGGCTTTGCTTTGAAAACACAGGGAAAAGATTACCACTGGCCTCGGAGATGGACGTTTTCAGATCTGTATCTTCTTTGTGTTTCCCTGTTTCGTTTTGCTTTCCCCAGCTGATTACAGGAGTGCAGCAGACGACAGAAAGACACAACCAAGCTTTCATGGCTCTGGAAGGACAGGTCATATCTAAGAGATTACACGCCACTGTTAGAGAAAAGGCGGGTCACTGGTTCGCGACGACCACGCCAATCATCGGGAAGGGAATCCTCTTTGCTGTGAAGGAGGGCCGCGTGACCACCGACGTCTCCAGCATAGCCACCGACGACAGCAGAAAGATCGCCTCAGTCCTGAACAGCGCTCACTACCTGGAGAAGATGCACTACAGCATCGAGGGGATGGACACCCACTACTTCGTCAAGATAGGCTCGGCCGACGGCGACCTGGTCACCCTCGCGATGACCGGCGGGAGGAAGGCCCTGGAGAGCGGCGTCAACGTCACCGTCTCGCAGCCCACGCTCCTCGTCAACGGGAGGACTCGAAGGTTTACGAACGTTGAGTTCCAGTATTCCACCCTGCTGATCAACATCCGCTACGGACTGACCCCCGAGACGCTGGACGAGGAGAAGGCCAGAGTGCTGGAGCAGGCTCGGCAGCGGGCCTTGGGTGCGGCCTGGGCCAAGGAGCAGCAGAAGGCACGGGACGGTCGAGAGGGCAGCCGCCTATGGACAGATGGAGAGAAGCAGCAGCTTCTGAGCACGGGAAGGGTCCAAGGTTACGAGGGATACTATGTCCTGCCCGTGGAGCAGTACCCTGAGCTAGCAGACAGTAGCAGCAACATCCAGTTTTTAAGACAGAATGAAATGGGAAAGAGGTAACAAATTAACCTGCTGTCATCCTTTGCTGGATGAATCAGTAGTCCTAACTGTTATCTCCTCTCCTAAGGAGATGAAGACCTAAACGGGGGCACTAGGCTGAGCTACTCTGGGATAGTAAGTGGCAAAAAAGCTCATTTTTTGAGTTAAATGCTACTGTTCAAGTGATTACAAACCACATCCTGAAGTGGACTAAAGCCAGACTGAAAACTCTAAGCGTACAAATTAAAAAGTACCCCTGAAATATTACCCACTTGTTCTGGGTCTAAAGAAAAACAAAAAGAAGGCCTCGTATTGTATTACCTCACTCCATTCACACGTGAGCAAACTAAGAAATCCAAGTGGGCCACTTTCACTAACCAGCTGATGAAACACAGATGATTCAGACTGCTTGTTTGATAAATATCCAAGAGGTTTTCATTTAAAGCAAAATACAGGTGCATTTAAAACATGACTTTGGGGTGATTTGTGTGTAGCAACTGGAGGACAATGAGAATGCAAGTGAGAGCGCACTGGAAATAGTAAAGAAATATATATTTAAAAGTAACAAAACCACACTTGCACTCTGCCCCTCCACTTGTCTGGCCTGAAGCTTAACTTATTCAAAGAGGGCAGAGTGTAAAGTTACATTCAAAATGGTGGCTATAAATCACTACAGATAAATTTCATACTCTGTTTGTCTTTGAAGATTTCCATTGTGGACAGTATAACACAGTTACAGGGTGTAGTCTGTTTAGATTCAGTAGTTTGTTGGTATCAGTTCCAGTAGAGCTGTGGGCATTGTGTTACACTATTGCAAATGGGCACCACGTCAGATCACCCTGTACATACATCAGCCAGAAGGCACAATCACTGTTTCAGATTTAAAAATTATTAGTGTGTTTGTTTGGTCGAGAAACTGAGACAATCACATTACAGTCACCACAAAAAAAAAAAAAAAAAAAAAAAAAAAAGTCTAATAAGAACTTTGGTACAAGAACTTTTTTGTAATATACATGTATGAATTGTTCATTGAGTTTTTATATTAATTTTAATTTGCTGCTAAGCAAAGACTAGAGACAGGCAAAGATAATTTATGGCAAAGTGTTTAAATTGTTTATACATAAATAAAGTCTCTAAAACTCCTGTGAACTATGTCTTCCATTGTGACATCTTTTAAAAATGAACAAAATACTAGTGTCTTGCATCACCTGGTGCACACAGCATCTTTTATGTCAAAATGACTTGCTGTTTTTCTACTGTGGATTCTACAGAGGGCTGGTCCCCTCTGATCTCTAAGTAGGCAATGTCCTACATATGCATCACCCAAAACTCTGTCTAGGACACAGCAGAAAATTGGTAAATGCTTTAGAAATTCCCTCTCTGCACCTCACGACTAACAACCCTCAAACTGCCGAGTTTCAATCCTGTAATTAGTTCAGTTGCACTAAAGTAACACCCAGGCAGCTGGGGAATGCAGCAACGTAATATTCAGTGCAAGAGGGAAGGCTGTGCTGCGAGCCAGGGAGCCTCCGCGAGACCTGGCTGCTTTGGGAGGCTGCTTATTTCTACCCCCTTTAGAAACTGGAGGTAAGATCAAAGCCCCTCTCTTAAGCAAACAGTTACTCCTGATGATGTTAAAAGGGAGCCATCCATCAACCAGAGCCCTGCTGCTTTTATCTCATTTAAGTATGTAGCTAGGGAGCTCTACTTAATTTTGAGAACAGTTTTGCTTTTGGGGTTGCAAATGAGGGTTTTAATGATTCATGATACCGACAGAGATGCTTGAGTTGATTATGGGCATTAATTCACTCCAGGGCATTTTTAAAGCAGAACAATTCAGTGGCTGTGTTGTATAACACCTACAGCACTCAAAGTGCATCTCAGGTTTGGTGTGCAAACAAAAGCCAACCCGTTCTGACCAGAGCACTACACCTCTGTGTTTGCCCTGTGCAGTGGAACCCCCATCCTCTGGAGTCCTGTATGTCCATCACTGCAGATGTTTTTCTGTGCTGATGGACCTGAAGCGCTGGTACATTATCAAACTATTCTTTACAAGAGAAACCTCTTTTAAAAAGTATCCTTACTTTTTTTTTTTTTTTTTTTTTTTTTTTTTTACGGAGGCATGAAAGATGAAGTCACAAGGCAGAGACACTTGTCATTATCACAGGTTTTCTGGATTGCCCCTGCCCTGTACTGATAATCTGCTTTGGTAATTTTTTGGAATTTTTTTTTTTTTCTTGCAGTTGAGAGGATTGAAATAAGAACCTGTTGCACAGTTCCTAATGTCCTTTGTTCTGTTACCATTTTCCCAAAGCTGAAAGTCTTCAGAATTCAAGATTCTGCTACTTCAAAAGGAAACAGTTAAACTAAAAGTGAGGTTCCCTTTTTAATATTAGTTACTGTGGGAGGAGATGTAACAGGTTTGCAGGGGATGTAGTCCCTACCCGTCTCTCCCAGCCGGTCCTTCTGGCATGTTCACCCCAGCATGTCCTGGTACCTGGAAGACTCTCAGGTGGTGCATCACAGGCGTTGGAAGGCTTGCTGTGTTTTGCAGTTCTGACAAGAGCTAGATGCTCTCAGGTCTGGAAACAGAGCTAACTCTTAGAGGCTGTACTAAAGAGCTTTTCACTTAGCAGACGGGGAAGGGAAGAGAACTCAACTGGTGTGACTGTGGCCAACCACTTCCTGCCTCCTCTCCTCTGGTCCTGTCTGAGTTGCCCCTGTTTCTTCAGGTATCTTTTTCTCCCTTTTCCTTTCTGCATTCCTCCCTTTCCTCACTCCCCTCAAATTGGCATCTTCTGTTCCTCTCAATCTCTTGCTTGTCCTCTCTCCTCCTTGTTACGCTTTTCCAGATGGAATAGGTGGTTAACCGAAAGCAGCACCAAGGAGACATGAGCTGGGATCCTTCTTATGGGAGAGTGGTTCAGTGGTGGCTGGAGCCAGGACATTGTGGCTGTGTCCCCAGCAGTGGTGTGACCAGGACAGGCTGAGGGCTCCTCACTGTGGGAAGGTGCAGTGCATGAGCCCAGGCTAGGCCAAGAGCTCCCAACCTACATTTGTCCTTCTGACTCACTCAAGCATACGCTGAGGTGTCTGTAGAGCAAACACAACCCCAGGAACAGGCTTCTGTTTGAAGCTAAAACCAGATGGAGAATCAGCATTAGAGTAAGTTTCCTTTTTTCCAGTTGGATTGCTATAACTGAAAGCATTTGGTATTTATAACCTTGCATTTCAGCTTGAAAAAGCTGCCTGCAACTTGGCTGTGGTACAGGAGTGTGTCTCAGCACACCCTGCTCCTCACCACCACTGGTCTTTTGCACTCCATGGCATTTTGGCCGCATGAGGGGAGTTCTGCCCACGAGACACTCAGAGGGACCGGCACTGCCTCGCCCACACTAGTCCCCAGCAGTGCCCTGGTAGCCTTCCTTAGTGGTCCCCATGTGTCCCAGATAAAGGCACCAGCAGAAGTTCCTCCTAAAGACCAAGGGCTACACGATTCTCTCATGGGAACAAATGTGGAGAAGGAAGCATTTGGACCCTGTTAGTTTTTCTTTGCTACCTGGAATGCAAGGGCTGGTGCATGCACACAGGCTGGGGCCTGAGACTGGGAAGACTCGGTAAGAAACCCACCTGGCAGCCCAGCTCTGGTATTGTTAGTTTTCACCTCCTGTCCCTTCAGTAACATAGCCTCTCAGAAGTTTCCTGCCAGAAATGAATATGCCAACAGCATTCTGCCTCTGTAGTATTACCCTGTAAGCCTCTGACCTTCCTATAAGCCCAGGCTCATCATTTCTGCAAGAGAAGAAGAGACAGATATCCCTCGTCTGCCCTGGACGTGACCATAGCACCTCTCCCAGTGCTCTCTCCTCTTTATTGGTCAAGAGTCTCCTGTACAAACAAGCATCAGTCTTCCATGGGAATCCCAGAAAGCGACATCAGAACGGGGTGCCATTGAATAGTTTGCATTAACTGCCTTGTGCTGTAATTTCTACCAGATTGACCCTTTTGCTGACAGTCTTGCAAACACTTCTAAAGCTCTCAGTGTTGACCGAGCATGGGAATGTTTGACGTTCGGCTTTGAGGCTATAGCCCTAGGAAACTCAAAAGGTAAAGTTTCTGCCACCTTCTCATACTGTCCTGCGTTCATCCCGTGATCTTGCATGAGAACTACATGTTAAGGTCAGTTGTATACTCAGCTGGCCTTTATTTTAACTGTGTATCTGTTCAAAGGTGGGACCTTACCTTAGAAACTAGGGTAGGATGGCCTTACAAGTCCTATGCCATGCAAATGTGAAGCACAAAGCCCTTAATCTTAGGAAACGCATATTTTATCCAGAAGACCCTCTATAGCTATAATTTTTTCTCCAAAGAGGAACTAGGATTAGATGTCCCTGGGCAATACTGAATGTGGGAATGAGGCTTCGCTGACCAGCTGTCAGGTGTAGCAGACTCCCTGGCTTCAGCTGAGCAGAGTAATGGAGAGGTACCAGAACCCCGCTGCCTCCGAGCTGTTCTGCCAACAAGGAAAGTTCCTTCCCAACCTTTTCAGGTTCAGCCTGCAGCATAAACGTTTCTTATTTCCAAGGATTACTTAGTTTAAACCTTACTCACTGCATCTGAAATCTGCCACTCCCCTGCAATCCAGCTCACCTCTCCAGCCGCAGCGTGTGCCGAGGCTGCACATTCACAGGAGAGTTTGAGACACCATCCACCACAGTACAGGTGCTGAGGCAGCTCCAAAAGACATTTTGCTCGCCGGACCTCTGAACCAGCAGAGAGACTTAGAGCCTTACAGTCACTTTCAGCCCATGGAACTAGGGAAGCAGTGCTGGTTCTGGCAGGTGGCTCCACTGGACAGAGGCTGGCACGGGAGGTTCCTGCTGTTGGTGAGTAAAGCATGCATACATCATGTGCTGGCACTGCCTGCTTAGATCAAAATAATTCTCTCTCCCTTGCCATGTATGTTTGTCATCTCCCTAATAAGCAGTTTTATGCAAAGCTTAAACATGACCAAGAGCTCTAGAAAGGCAAATACTGTCAGTGGTGTCAAAGCACAAACTCCTTGTGCTGATGAAGCCTTTTCTGCTTCTTCCTAACCCAGCAGAGTGGTGCTGGGCAGACCGAGAGTCACGGTCACAAACTGTGTGTCTGCACCAGCAACATCTGCCGGGTGATTCCCTGAGCTGCGAGGCAGAGCAAGAGGCATTCCACGAGGAGCCGAGGGCAGGTCACACAACAGTCAGCACAACGTGCTCACAGCACCCTCACAGCTGCACCCACCTCGCCAAGGGGCTAGGTGGGCGATTTCACCTTAGCTGAGCAAGAGCCCAATATGTCAGCTCAGCCTCCCCACCACCACCACAAAACCGAGAGGTGGAAGCATGAGTGTGATGTGTACAGGTGTCTGAATCAGGCATTCAGCCAGATGGCCCAGGCAAGGACATCGTTTAGCGGTGGCCTTGGCAGTGTTAGGGTAATGGTTGGACTCGATGTTCATAACAGTCTTTTCCAAACAAAATGATTCTAATTCTATGAGTAGACCCTTCCAGCCCTTCCCACACCCTGCTTGGGTGGGTGCCTGTGAGCACCCTGCATGCTGCAGGCCAGTCAGCCTCTGCAACCACCAGCTCCAAGAGCCATTTCTTAACCCGGGGCACATGGGGTTTGCATCAACACAAGAGTCAGTGCCCCAGCACCCACCGCCCTGCAGCTCAGCAGATCCCACCAGCCCTGCCCAGACCTCCCCCCACCTCCTGCGGCAGGAGTGGGGTGTTTCCCTGTCCAGAGGTTCTGCAGTAGCTCTTCAATATACTTATGCAAAGAAAGAGGTTAGCTTTCTATTATTTTTCGTGTTCATTTAAATATCTGTGCAGTGTCTTGGCCTCTGCAGAGGATTTCGTGGTTCTGGGGCTAGAGTCGGGATACTTCTGTGATGCCTCTGAGCCAAGGGCAGGAAAAAGAAAACAGGAAAAAAAAAAAGTAATAAAGTACAAAGTGGCAAAAACACCATGGGAGAGAGCTGTGTGCCAGCCTTCAGAGAGAAGCAAGTGAATGCAGCCAATTTATAAATCCTTAGCAAACAGGATTTACGACAGAAGCGGCAGTTGAAAGCCGTGGTGAGTACGGGAGGTGGCAGACAGCACTGTAAC